AGACAATATCCTTAGGTGTATCGTACATTTTTTCTAAGACCATTATTTAGCCACGAAGAGACAACAGACGCTGGTTCGTGTATATAATAATATACGGATGTCATGGTAGTAAAAACATCACGATATTCAATACATCAAATAGTTTTTTTTTTAATTATATTCAACGTAGTTTTGATGCCTATCACAAATCCTTTCGTCCCTTGTTAGGTTAGTGTCTAATATACTGTATCTTACGAGAATCTAGCATTTTATTAAGCGTTAGTTCAGTGAGGAATTTCATTCATGAAAAACGAACAGGAAGCTGGTTATCTTGTTTTACGTGTTCTTTTCCAATAATCCATTGGATAATATGTTTTTCTTTTCCTCTAGTTTTCTATGTGTGGGTGACATGACAATTTATAAACATACAAGTGAAATTGATTTGATAATTACTAGATTTAACGCGTCCTGTTAGAAAGATGACATTAATTCTATGTTCTTGATATTTTCATGTTGAAAAGGTGGCACCATTTCTAAGTTCCTGATATTTACGTGGTTTTATAGGTGGCGCCATTTCCAAGTTCTTGATATTTACATGTTGAAATGGTGGCACCATTCCTAAGTTCTCGATATTTACATTTTGAAAAGGTAGCGCCTTCTCTACGTTCTTGATATTTACATATCGACTTTAGATGATTTGTTTCAAGTAAGTAAATCTAATGAATTTCCTTACTGAACAAGGATAGTTTAGAAAGCTAGAACTAGTCTCCAAAAATATGGATCGTGCCTAAAACGTATTTCGTAAGTAACTATCGAGGTTCAACGTACTAATGTTTGGAGTTAACTTGTTAAAATTATGATAAGTGCATGATATTAATATAATAATGGTTAAAAAAATGTTGTTGAGGTTGGTGTAAGTGACAAGTTCACAGGGAACATGGCATGGAAATTAGATCCATTGTTTTAGTTTGATATTATTAATGGTTTAGTTTTTAAGAGCTTAGGGTTTAATTCCGTTCCGATTTAAGTTTTAATCCCGGTTGTGCACCGTATTTGACTCAAAAATATTTAAGTGTTCGCTTTCCATGAACATGTTGATAGTGAGTAGAAAAATTCGATATCTCAATTAACACCAGAAATATTATTGATTTGCCTAGTTCTAGTAAAATGCTCATTAGTATGGAGCTTGTATGGCGCCATTACACTTATGACGTAACAAACAAGTACTGCTGTTTCTATTCGCCTCCTGATTTCTCAATGCCTGTGAGTACTTTACTTTTCAATTTCAATTATATTTTCACATATCGCACCCTCAATAATAAACAAGAAAGTAGATTTAAAAAAAACGTACGTGGCACCAGCCATATGTATATGCCACTTCCCTGGTGCCAAATATAATTAAATTGTATTGGATAAGAAAAACAACACATTAGTTTTATTTCGTACGTTATTTTTCTAATTTCGGTATTTTATTATTGAGAGTGCTATATGACTATCAATATACATCTAATTTATTATATTACTCATAATAAATGAAAAACATTTTATTTGGGATTTGTGTCTAATACTCTGTTAAGGGGGAAAATAACTTTTCTAGACTGGGTGTTCTGGTTAGTGCTCCTTTTTTCTTATAAATTATTACATAGAGAATAAGTAAGGGGATTACTTTTAGCGTAGTTTATTTTTATTAATAATGTTATTTTTATGATCGGCAGTTGGGACAATACACTATAATCTTGTTATGCTGTTCAATAGAAAAAGAAATGTTTAAAATATTGTGTAATAAGTATATTTACAATTTATTTCTATTATCGATGTTATTTTATTACAATGTTCCCTGGTAACTTGACAAGAATGGTTTTTGTTGCAAATACGTAACAAGAGCAATTTTAGGACACAAGTTTTGCATTCATAATTGTGCTTTAAATCGATTAGTTTTAAGTTATAAAAAATTATTTACAATAAAAGTGTTGATATGAAATAGTATTATATAATTTATATATGTAATTCAAAATAAAACAAGATTTTATATGTAAACTACGTTTGAAATGGTGTTGTACACGTTGAAATTATAAACTATTTATTATATTTTAGCTTTTAAAGTATATATGTAATTGAATTCGAAAGAAAAGTATGTAATGTTGTGGAAATTTAAAAAAAATATAATGCAACCATTGTTTAATTTTAATTAGCAATATCTTAATTATAAGGTTTAAAAGTTTGTGCTATAAAAAATAATAGTTAATTTAGCTTTTAGAATATATACATTATTTATTTTACAATAAATAATCGCTGATTATAGTGCTTTAATATGAAAAATAAATGAAATTATTTATTGTTCTGAAATATTTGTATATGTCGTAGTTTTGGAAACGAACGTTCAAGAATGTTTCTAAAAAAAGTATTATTAAATATTATAATATTTTGCCTCATTACCCGTAGTTTGTTTATTAATTAATCAATAAAATTGAATTGATGGGTTTATTAACCAATTAATTGGTTTGTATAAGTTAAATTGGGTAGGATAACGAATGTAGTAAAATTGTTCACAATAACCAGACTGAAAATAATTTGAATTGTTTAGATATGTAAACTTGAATGGAAATGTTTTTCTACATTGAAATCATTTAAAGTATTCTTAGTATTAGAGTTCGTACTGATTAAGATAAGTTAGGCACCAAATGAATCTTTATTTAATTCCAAACAAAATAAAAAAATACACACTTAAAAATAACATGCCAAGAAAGTTTGCGCTTGCGCGTTTCAGCATATTAGTAATACCATTAGTGGCGACGCGGAGTAGTAAACTCCCCAAATACAGTGTTGTCTTTCAAAAGAACAAAGATAACCTTCGGCACAGTTTATAGATACTGTCAATACAAAATTAATCCACAGGTGTTACAAAAGTAATACTACGTAACGAAAAACGGTACGAAATCCTATGAAACGGAACGGAGTTTCATGTAATTTTTTGGCTAATTAGTCAGTGGCCAATGCCATAAAAAGTATATTGACAGATCAATGTCATTCTTATTGCAATTTATTTAACCAATTATAATTACGTTTTTGAATATTTTAGCGTTTAATAGTTGCTGTTTTTTGGATTTTTTTAGTATCGCAGTGCTGCTAGTGATTATTTAAACATGTCTACCACACTTTTTTACCGCTATACAGGGTTTCCCAATTGCGGGGTTATGTGTGTGTGCGTTATATAAATGAATAAAAAAAATGCAGTTCACAATATTTTATTTATTGTTATTCTGCTAAACTCTTTACATTAAGCTTATATCTAGCAAAAAAGTTGAGGTTGGTTAAATTTTTCTGGGAATAGAGTACCTACTAAGCTCCATACTAATTTGTTACAAGCCTTTTTTTTTAAGAAAGTACTCCACTAGCTTGTTATTATATTATTATTAATGTAAAACTCGAACGAACCCATAGAAAAGTTTCTTCGATCCAACTGGACTCGAAGCATTGTTCGTCGCCTCAATATGGCTACTTTATATGAAGCCAAAGAAGTAATGTACTAAATTTAGCCTACCATTGCCAACAGCACAGTCCACTCTTCATAATCCTAACATTATGCAATCTGTACTTATTATTCTTAGTAATGTTAAAAGTTCGAAGTCAGTAGTCGCGGTCATCTAATAAGATAAATGTTTCCATTCCAGTTTACATCATGTTAGATATCGAGTGTATGTGAAAACCTTGTTTTTGTGTAACGTAGGCATATTCCAGCCTGTCCCGTATTATACTGTAATAGATATTTTGTGATTTATTCGAATTACGTGAACTATGATTAGATCGAACGAGAGCAAAAGTATTCTTCCAGATTCTGGCCAAATCGATAGTGGAGTAATAATAAAATATTATTCATGACTATTGGATTTTATTGCTTATTGCAGCTGAACACTGGAATTTGGTATGTATGGTACGACAGGGGATTTTTATGTGACGAATAGTAATATATTTATAAAGTTATAAGATGGTTGAAATTTCAATGGTAGTGTGCGACCACTACCATTGAAACCACTACTACGAAAACAGAGCTGCGGTAAGTTCAGGGATAGCGAGCTGGTTGCCTCCTGAATACTTCGGCAGCCCTCGGGATGTTTCGCCAGGCTTTTACGTTATGACTAATCTGGATAGAGAGAGGCTAGGCGCGAGCGCAATGTCGCTACGGTACGTTTCGGCATGTCTAAGGTACCGCTGCATATTTGCCGGCAGTGTGCGTTCACATGTAGGGATGCCGAAGGACCCCTTGCCTTACTATCCCGCCAATGAGCACCGGGCTTGGAATAAAACACTATGGGTCGTATTCTAGAACTCTACTCGATGCTCAAGTCAGGATTTGAGTATAGCTTAAAGCACTCGAAATCATACTCAAGTCCCTGCCATTAGGGTCGTATTTCCAGTGCTTGTGTTGCCAGTGTAATCCTGACTTGAGCATTGTATAGAGTTCTAGAATACGACTCTGAGTGTATTTTGAAAATCATGTTAGTGTAAAGGCTCTGACAACCTGAATATTGGTGTCATAAGTCACTTGTCGCCTTAAAAAAGTTTAAGGAATGACAACGAAACTAATATTATTTCATATTTATATATTGTTTCTTATGCCTTGAATGTTTATTTTATTTCAGTTATAAAAATATTATATATTTTGTCAGCCACAGCTAGTTATGCAAACTGTCTAAATTTTTGCTCATATTTTGTATACAATTACAGAAATCACGAATGACTGGACGCTAGATGCGGTATACAGCAATCAGTATATCTTTTTGCCTCTCTTAGTATTTTTTAAAATTTTTCTTTTGGAGCTCCTGTCTATGGAGATCTTGATATCGTCTGGTTGTATTCGTACGACTGTGGATCATATGCATTTATTTAAGGGACAGTTTGTATAACTTGATGTGTGGCTGAGTGTACCTACTTTTTTTTTATATTGAATAATTTTGGCATATTGTTTAATTATTCTCTTGTTTATTTTGAATACTTACTAAATTGAACACGTTGATTGACAGGTGACTACGCATGGAGCTGCTCAAACTGCATGATGTCGGATCCATGGGAAAAATTCCCGTCACCTCCTTTAGGTGGCAGCTATCCTACCACACCTCGGAACGGTTGCCGTCCTGGTGCCTGTGCTAATACTAGAATCGCTTATCCTAATTATATGCCTGGGAAAGGAACCCCTAGGTCCAGTAGAGGTAGGAATCTTCCCTGGGCACCAGGATTCGGTGGCGAGGAACGTTATAAAGGGCAAAGATGTCGAAACGGACCGTCGCCATATTGGTAAATTTAAATATGAATTTCGAATGTTGGAATTCTTTTATTTACCATTCCAATTAAATTGTAATTGGAATCAATGGATCCATTGTGATAATTGGACCTAATAATGTCAAAATGTTAATGGAATGTTGAAGCATTGTACGCTTTTGATCTCATGTTTGTTTGTAAATATTTATCATTATTACAGGTCGATGAATTTTGAAGTATTGACAGTTATCCAAATAGATAATTATGTGAACGATTAATGATTCAACAGAATCAATGAAACCACTTAATTGGTTTTTCAGTTTGATGGGTCATTTGAAGACCAATCAAAACAATGCCCGTCTAGGATGAAAGTATCAATTACAATTATTTTAAGATAACTGCATATTTGGGCCTTAAACGTACCCGATAATGTATTTGATATAACTTTCCCTTACTATCAGAATAATAGAATGAAGGCGAATTAATGAATATCTGTACGCCTTAAGATGTTTGCGGAAAAGTAAATGAGCATTGTAATGCCTACATGATAATATGCCTTGACTAATGGCAACTTACAAACGTCGCTAGAGGGCATCACTAACGTCAAAGGGGCGATTAGTTACATCTTAAAGCGCCATCTAGAGGGAAAAGGTTTTTTTAATTATTCTGCTCTTTTTATTTCTTTTATGATTTAACTTGAAAACAAATATATACTTCATTTGTTTTGACCAAGTGTGTTTGTGTCCTTTGCACTGAGTTGTTTAAAGCATGAGTTTGTTTGCCTTTTGTTCATTAACTTCTATCGTAAGAATAGTTTTGTGTTGTAGTTTTATCCTATATTTTTTATAGTGCGCCAGAGATTATAATTAAACTAACGTCTATCTGTATCAGGTCAGTCTCGATAACTTTTGGATGGATCTTAACAACTGAAAGTGTTTTTAATAGTGTAGGTTTACTTAATAAGGGATGGTTAAAATTCGTTCAATATTTATAGCAGCAATATTTATAGATGTTTCATTGTAATTTATAAAGTTAAGGTGGTCTGGGTATTAGATGACTGCACAAGCGAGACAAGGCTTTGAACAATGTGGAACATTGTTCTCGATCAATCCATTGTCAGCTCTGTTAGCGGACTTTTTATTGGTCATAAAAAGGACAATGTCAGATTCAATGAAAAGATTACGAAAATTCTTTGTGTAAGACTAGGAATTTTGATAATCTTTTCAGTGTAAAATTTAATTTCAACAGAAATATTACAATTGCTAAGAACGAAATTTTTGTTTTGCAACAGCAGTTACTGCATGCGTTCATATTTTTGCAACAATGTATGGAAACTACAGCAAAAATCCCATACAACGATTTGTAGCAGGCACTTAGAAAAATTCGTAAGCTCTGCTTACTTTATCTGTAGGTCAGTTGCGGTAAAAGCGGTAGCCATGGTGAGGCAACAGACTCTGATTCGATTCCAGTCGGATCGAAGATTTTTCTTTGTATTCTGTTCGATCTTTGTATCAAGATACTATAGATATAGAATTCACGGAATGTTTTTGGTACGTAAAAGTAGCTATAGGGACACAGAACTCATAGATTCACAGAGATGGTATATAAAGGGTAAAATAATATGAACACTAGGAATTTTCCTTCCGTGGCAATGGCCATCACTTATCGATATTGTCATTTAAAGTTAACAACTTGACCGACAACTTGGCTGCGAAATGATACAGCGATAGGTTTGCCTGGCGCCTAGATTGAGCGATGGGTTGGCCTGGGGCCAAAATTGAGCTTTTAAGTTTTGTTCTGTACAGTAGTACATATTTTTCTCGATGTATATATTTTTGACGACTTCCGCGGTCGAGTGACTTGTACACTGGTTTTCATGTGTCGTCATCTCTGAGGTTCCGGGTTCGGTCCCCGGCCGGGGACTAACTTTCCAATATTGTCTCGGATCTGGGTGTTTGTGGGACCGTCGTTGATACCGATTTCCATAACTCAAGCGCTTTAGTTACTTTGGGATCAGAGCAACTTATGTGATGCGTACGGAGCTATTAATTATGACTCTAATATCTTTGTTGCAAATAAGCGATGACCTGAAAGCGTAGACTAGAAAGGTCACACACTAATTCAAAATTATCACTGTGGGGACAGTGGTGGAATTAATTATAACGCTTAATCAAGTCGACATTGTTATAGGGTTAACCATTGATGTAACAATACAAGTAGTCAAATAAAAAGCAATATTTGTCTGGCGCACTGTACATAGAAAAATGGTTTTAGTTTTTTCTGTGTCAAACTTTGGTTTTTGTCAGGATTAATGCCTGATTTTATTTGTTAATTTTCACTTACAATTTAATTCATTAATTTTTACTTCGTCTCGAAGATATTGTATTTTACACTTCTCCTTTATGTAATGTAAGGATTTTTTTTTGCTATTTATTTTTATTTTGTTTAAACCTTTTTTTTAAGTGGAATTGTTTTAATTGTTTCCTAGTTTCTTATATTTGTAAGATTATAAAAATGTAAAAACTTATTCTGATGTTTTATTTGTAAATAAGTAATAAAAGTACAAGATTCGCTTATTATAAATCACATTTATGATCATCGTTCCTCTTCTAACCGTCCTAACTAGTATCAAACAAATCGACCCCTCCGACGTAAAGTATCGTATGTCGAAATTGCCAAGTTTACAGGGAAGCGTTTTACAGTTCTGAATTCACTGAAACGAACATAACACGTGACTTTAGCATTTCTCAGTTTTATTCGGCAAAGCTCATTACTCACATCGAGTATTATAAAATCCTAGATATAGGTTAGATGATCTATGGTGACCACTCTTTCAGTGAATTCAGAACTTTAAAACGCTCCCCTGTAAACTTGGCAATTTCGACATATGATACTTTACGTAGGAGGGGTCGAAATGGAACAATTTAACAGTATTATAACAATTTAACAGCGTTTAGTATGCAAGTGAAATCAAAGTTGAGTGTTCCCTAATATTCGTTAATATTCTGTTTAATCCACGGCAAGAATTTGGCTAAATCTGTAAAGACCACGTAATGAGTGGGATCACAGCGGTACTCGTTCTGCCGAGCCACGGAGAGCGAGACCAGGCCTCGTAGGTACCATCGGTTTTGTTTGTTGAACACCATGCCGCCTCCGCTGTCACCGTTGCAAACAGATGTGCCTGCAGAAGTTGAAATAAATGTTTAGTTTTGACGACCCGGTTTGGCATTGTGGGCGCTGGATACGGAGGTCCCGGGTTCGATTCCCGGTAGGACCAATTTGGGAAATGAACTTTCTACATTGGTTCTGGGAATGCCCTAGAGTCAACTCTGTTGCTTTGGTACTCTGGTACAATAACTCAAACTATTATGGTTTGTTCGGTTTAAAAAAAGCACTTTTGTATATTAAAATTGACAAAAATAAAAAGATTTTTTGAAAGAAAGACTGGTGTAAAAGGTTTAGGTTAGGAGAGGTTAGATAATTAATGGAAGTTGCACTGTGAATTTTTTTACAAAAAATATGTAGGTGTTACGTCACATATGGATGTTTAAATTTTAATAAGTGTGTTATTACTATTCACAACACCTTTGACTGATTACTAACCGTCTCTATATCCAGCGCAAAAAGTATATTCCGATGTGAATCTCGCAAAAAACTCGCTGTACGACCTGATGCAGGTCTCTTGATCAACTACAGGCATTTCCACCAGAGTTAGTTCTTCAGTCGCCGTACCTGTGATGTCGAAACCCCAACCTACCACCTGGAAGAATGAGTTCAGTAATTTTCAGGTAAGTTTCTTGTACTCAATTTTGGTGACAACTTTTATTATTTAATTGCTCCAATATATCATCGTGAAGTATTAAACACTCGAATATTAAATAATGCTTCATGATGATATTCCATAAATATTTAAATAAAAAGAAATTGTCACCAAAATTGAATACAAATAACTTACCTGAAAATTACCCAGTTACATCATGTTTAGGTCTATTAGTAAATGAAAAACAAACTGCTTATCAAGTGGCCCGTCTGCTCGTGTGGCTTCCACTTTACAGTAAAAAAAACAAAACGGCTAAGTGTTATTTTCACAAAAAGTCTAAGATTAAATGACAAAGTGCATGATTCGAACTTTATTTTATTGGCTGTTAAAATATCAATATTTAATTCATTTTTTCTATTCTAATTTTCTTTATGTATTTTATAAATTTGATTGTGGTAAAAATAATCGTATGTCGCGTAAATTGGAACATGCCTTTTATTTTTTAACTAATGTTAGACAAAAAAAAACATATTCACAATTATAATTTTCACTTGCAGCTACACTTATATATCCGGATATGCACTTACATACTGAATAGGTTATTTTAGATGCCTTATTTACGCTTTACATTTCAGTAATTTTCAGGTAAGTTTTTTGTACTCAATTTTGGTGACAAATTTTATTATTTAATTACTCGAATGTATCATCGTGAAATATTAAAGAATATATCAGGTTACCACACTCGAATATTAAATAATACTTCATGATGATATTCTATAAATATTTAAATAAAAAGAAATTGTCACCAAAATTGAGTAGGTACAAAAACTTACCTGAAAATTACTCATTTATTATTTCATTGGACGATTTCCCTCCTAGTTGTTTATTATATCTTTCATTATAAATAACTTCTAGATTTAGTCCCTCTCGTTGGTTTTGACTGAAAATCTGCGCCTTAGGGAACTTAGGCTTATGCTGAGTCAGTGTCCTTTCACTGTTGTGACAAAAAAAATTGTATTTAATCTGTATTTGTGGCATACTAGCGAATAAAGTCTTTATCTGTATCCATGTCTGGTTGATAACTTATACCATTTTGGTTGTCGGACCGTCGCGGACAGTATAAAGAGCCCATAATGTTGGTTTGTTTGAAAAAAAAAGGTCAGGTGGGGTATGAGGAATGTTGTTTATCAGCTTTACGTATTTTAACAATCATTACGGTGAATACTTGTGATGTACCTGGTTGCTGAAAATGTGCAAATTGTGTTAATATTTCTCTTCCCCAAAAGATGGGGTAACAGGAACAGAACATTGTATTTCTAAATTTTTTAATTTATTTATTTTTGAAAAAGTATACATTTTACAGAAGGTCTTAATGTACAACCTTGTGTTCTCACGATTTCATAATTGTCTGTCGGTCATTCTCGGCCTAGTGTTAATTACCTAACTTTCATAGCAATTTTTATTTTTTTTATTATTTTACTATTCTTACGGTAGAAGTTAATGAACAAAAGGCAAAGAAACTCATGCTTTAAACGACTCTGTGCAAAGGACACAAACACACTTGGTCAAAACAAATGAAGTATATTTGTTTTCAAGTTAAAACAAGTAAAAGAAATAAAAAGAGCAGCATAATTTAAAAAAACTTTTCCCACTAGATGGCGCTTTTAGATGTAACTAATCGCCTCCTTGATGCTAGTGATGCCCTCTAGCGACGTTTGTAAGTAAGCTGGCATTAGTCAAGGCATATTATCATGTGGGCATTACAACATTGCTCTCGAAATTAGGTAGTACACACTAGTCCGAGAGAATCACCGCTGTTTTTTTCCATTTGCATTTGGAGCATCGTTGCGACATCTCTTTAAAATCGTTTAAATTAGTTTGTTTGTTTGTTTTATCGACAGTTTAGATTATGAGATGGGATTGCAAGTCCTTCTTCCCCCATTCATCTTACCACACCTAACCACCTAACCATATATACGTGATTCGTATTCGAAAAAATTGTTTCATTTCCAATATGATCATTTGTAAAATAAAATATCGCCGATTTTTTGTTACACCCAGTATGATAATAATTGTTACGGTTAAGGGTACGTGGCGGCCTTTTACTAAAGCGAAGGGTAAACATTCAATCAATTGATTGGGATACTTAATGGCCGTATACCGCAAATTGAAGTGCTACAGGTTACTGTGGCTTTATTCTGTGTAATCTTTGATGTTTCTGGAAATTAATCCATCTTACTTATTGCTTTGCCCTTATAGATCCCGTGACCAGAGAGTCTAATAGTATAGTTGCGTTTATAACCTGTTTAATAATTTGAACGTTGTTACGAATTTGAACACTTGTAGCAATCTGAAGAGCGATTTGTTTTGACTTCACTTTTTTAGGCGTTAAAATACATAAAAAGTGAGCGGACATATTGTGAGTTATAATATTATAAAATATAATGTTTTACCTGAAATTAAAACAGTTATTATATGCGGAAACCTTATTCGAGACCTATAGAGTGAGACAGCAACACTTGCGTCACCGCGAACGGCCCCTAACGCTCCCCTCCACCCCAGTCCCAGCGGCACTAGTCGGGACGGAGGGGCGCGCAGCTCATCACCAGATACGGATTGTCTCGTCACATTGAACCTCACTATAAGTGGAATTTATATAAAAATCCAACCTGCAGTATTGGAAATATAGGTCTTATAAGTTTGTGGAAAGAAAATTAGGCACTATGTAACTGAAAATGCATCAATTTATTTTTTTCGACATCTTTCTTTGAACACAAATACGCAACTGACGAAACCGTAAAGTCATCATGACACGAGCTTGCGTTATAGACAATTATATCTATATATACAAACTCTAATAAAATGTAGAGAAGGTTGTGTGATCGCCAGTTACCCTTGGCCATGACCTCGTCGATGGAACAGGAGTTGAGCCAGTTGAGCGAGGCGACGGTGCTGCGCGTGCTGGCGACGACGCCGGCTGCGTGCAACAAAGACGTCATCCAACCACCCAGCACGGTGCGCGACGCCACACGCGCCTGTCCGCGCGCCGTTATGAAGAGTTGTGACAACTCGCTGCCTTCTCGTCGCGGAGCTGACACGTCATTATGGGCATAGTTGTCGGTTTTCGAACCGAAAACGGGATGCAGTATTATGTAGCCGCTACCACCCTTGAAGTGCTCGGAGTCAATGCGCAGAAGAGTGAGGTCGTGTACTCGCCGACAGGATGCGAGGAGAAGGATAAGAGCCATCCGTCGTGAATATAACGTTTCATTCGTCAGAGGGTTAGCCGATAACCAGTCGACTATATTTCTTGGGTCCAATATCGTTGGCCCTTGAGGGTTTTCCTTTACGTTGGCTACAGAAATATATTTTAAGATTCGTTTCACAATAGGGTTACACTTAGAGATTCAGATAGAGTCAGTCAAAATTGAAATTGTGGACTTGTAAACTTAAATAGTTTTATAAGACAGCCTTTCTTTCAAATGAAGATGTGCAAGGAATTTTGCTAGCTGTGAGCCGCTAGGTTTTAAGAAATTAACCTGGCTTTTGATACCAGTTTCGCCATTTGGACCATACTGAAGAGTAGACTTTCTTTGTAGACGATCGCCAACTCGAATCTAGCAAATTAACTTCTTCTAAGGTCCAATCTGATAATAGGTGGGCCCACTCTTCACCAACCATGTCTCTAGATGAATTTTCTCTACCTGAGCTGGAGGCAGCAGTGTCCGCGTGTCTATTAGATTGTGTCTGAGGTTCTGTATCAACCACGGAGGAGCCATGGCCCTGCGTTTGAGATCGGGACGCCAGAACACCTTGTGCCACCGAGGCACGATTAGCACGAACTTCCCTCTGGCTGTGTTGAAATGAGCCAGGACACGGGGTATGAGGTGTGGCGGAGAAAACACCACGCTATCTGAAACGACCATTCTCTGTTGAATGCGTCGTGAAATTCGGCGTTCGAGTCGGTGCAATCTCGAGATGCGTAGCGCGGTAATACGTGAGCACTCCTCGAGGCGAATAAGCCTATTTGTGGCTTTCCGAATTGTCGGAATATTTTGTGACAGGCTACCGCCGATAGTGTCCGCTCTCGTTCTAACTTTTGACGCGACAGTTTGTCGGCCTCCTTATTCAAAAGTCCGGGAATGTAATGAGGGACTATTTGGATGTTGTTCTGATCTAGTAATTGCAGAAGAGAGCACGTTACCTTATTTTATTTATTTATTAACTTATATACATTTTTATATTCGTTTATACGACACTGAAACCCTTGAGGGGTTTAAAAGTGTGTCACGTCTGACAAATTTGACGTTGGATAACAAATCTAATACTAAACTAAACACTAAACACTTACACTTGTAGAGGCTCATCGAGCACAAACCGCCTTCGTTGCGTATGTAACTCACTATATACGCTTTTGTTGTCGGATTGAACGAGAACAGTCGAGTTCCGCAGAACGTGTAGGTGTGTTTGAACGGAGTGAATTATTGCCCACATTTCCTTGACATTACTGTGCCAGGATATTTGTTCTGCGCGCCAAGTGCCTCCGCTCACTTGAGTCCCGTCGATAACTGCGCCCCAACCGTCGCCGGACGCGTCTGTCGTCAGGAAGTGAGCGATAGGTCTCGGGTGAATGGGTGTGCTCGCCGTGAACGCTCCCTGCCACCAAATCAATGCTTTCGCGGCTGCGAGATGGAGTGGTCTTTTGCAGTGTGGTTGGTCTTTTGGCTATAGAGCACAAGCCATTTGTAAGGGGCGGCAATGAAGACGACCTCTTGGGATGGCGAATGATGTAAAATTTAGCATTCCAATTGTCATTATTTTGTGTCGTTTGTCCGCAAGTAGACATTTGAAATTGTGTTCGAGATTCCACGTAATACCTAGATAGTCTTAGTATACATGTCGGGATCAGTATGGACTTCTTGTGGTTGACAGTCCATCCCAATGTCAATAGAACGCGTACAACTTCTGCAACTTGTTCTATAAGTAAATGTCGACATTGACTCACAATGAGAAAGTCGTAGACGAGCACTCTCATTCCTTTGCCGCGCAACGGCTGCGCAACCCAGTTCGTAACAGTTGCAATGGCTACGAGTGCTGGGGACAGTCCGAATGGAAAGCTCGTGATCCGCAGGAGCTCGGGATCTCTCATTTCGTGCGATTTGAAAAGGACTCTGAGAAATGGTTGATAGGGCTGGGCCATCGGAACGTGAAAATAGGCCTGTGTTAGATCTATTTTTACAGCCCAGTCTTCCTTTTGTAAAAACTCTGGCACTCGTTGCATATTTATCAATCGGAACTTGAACTGCACTAGAAAAAGGTTGAGGTTCTTCAAATTGAAAATAGAGCGGTCGCTTTGATCCGATTTTTTTACTAGAAACATGGGGCATACGAAACTAGGTGTTTGTGGTGCGGGTACTAATATTTTTTGCTTTTTTACTTGTAAAATTTGTTCGGTCATCGCAGCACTCGTTTGTGTTTGATAACAAAGAAGTTGATTGTGATTGACAAATGGGGGTAGTTTGCAAAAAGGAATGCTATAACCAGAAATGATCTTAATTACGTGATCGGGAGCGCCCATATTTTTGCCAAATATGTAAATAATTTTTTAAACAACCGCAGTAAAATAAATTTTGTTTGTAGTCACTTCCGAAAGCGACTATTGTTGAATTTATTTTTGCGATTAGGATTGTTCTGTTTCTTAACATCGCGTTTAGTGCCAGAGTTGTCAAATGGTTCGTTCAATCGTTCAATCGTTCGTTTGTTACGTGAGAGATCCTGTCTATTCCGCATAGACATAATGGGCTCATCCGCTGAGCGCTTGTTGCTGTTAGTAAATATCTTGTTAGTTCCACCAGCTTTCTCCAGGAAGTTACTTAATAATTCTGGATTAAACAGGTTAGCATTTGTTGGAGGGATTTTACGTAAATCCTCACGAATAAATTTGTTTTTAACACCTAACAAAATACTGTCACGTCTCTTTTGTATAGGTACCATTAGCTCGCCTCCCGCATACAAGCTGAAGCAAATCTTCAGAAACCTTCATGAAGTTAGAATTTTTAGTAAAAAGTTCGGAAACTTTTTATAAAGTGTTTCAGCATTCAAAACGCAGGTAGTGGAATGTGACCACTCAATTAATTGCTGCAAATTAGTTCTAAAAGTTTCATGCTGCTGAAGCAAAGCATGAGTAATGGCACCAAAAAAACGATCTAGATGTTTAAGCCAAGATGAATTAGGATCATAATAGCGAAGTTCAGTGTTCACATCCATGTCGTAAAAACCGGGTCCCGGCTCCCATTCATTTGTATCGAAATGATGCAACTTGGAAAGTAAAGCAAGCTTTTTTTTTCTTTTTTTTTTAAATTGTGATGGCAAAATGACTGCATCGCGCCTGATGGAAAGTGCGAATACCGTCCAGAGATGAGAGTAACGGATGGAAGACACAAATATCTTTACTCCGTCACTATCATTTTGCCGGTCTGGCCAAATGCTTCTTCACACTACGTTTGAAGGACCCGATGTTATAGAGGGGAGGGAATACATGCGCCGGGAGTTGGTTCCACAATTTGATGGTTCGGCATAAAAACGAATTGCCAAACTTTTTAGTGCGGGACGGTATTGAACTGACCGTCCGCCGACGCTTACTATCCCACGAATTCTCGACGGTGGGTTCTTTTAAATTCATGTTAATATCGTAATGAAACGTTTTGGATTGTTTCGGTTTATTTAGTAACGGTTCATTTTCAAAAAGCGATGTCATCAATTTCTCGGAAGGTTGTAACAATATGTCGGAATCACTATCACTAGCTTGATCGTTTTTAGCACACTGTGGTCCTTTAAGGTATTCTAAAATTTGACTATACCTGTTGCGACAAACACTGAAAATCGCGATTCCTGGAATTCACTCGCCTCGACGAACGACGACGCCGCTTTTGCCGCCGGGAATCCTCTGAAGACGATGTAGAACTAGAGCCGCTACTGGAGCTGCTGAGCGAGGCACCGCGCCGACCACGTGCTCTAGTGGACCGTGCGCGGGCGCGGTCGCGGGCCTCAGTTACGCCAGCAGGCTCTGCGCGCTGCTGGCGCTTCTCTGCCGCTGCAGGCTCCGTGCACTGCTTACTAGAGCCGGCAGCAGGCTCGGCGCACTCCAAACGCCTCTCGCCTTGATCCAGGGTTTTACTCATGTCTAACTCTTCCGCAGAGCAAACAGCTTAACCGATATTATATTTTTTTATTTAATTAATTTTTTTTTAATTTAACGAACCACAAAGTTGTTTAATTTTAAGGGGTTCGCTCGACCAAAGTCGATGCCAAGGACAATCCGTATCTGGTGATGAGTTGCAGGCCCCTCCGTCCCGACTAGTGCTGCTGGGAGTGTTGCGGGGCCGTTCGCAGTGACGCAAGTGTTGCTGTCTCACTCTATAGGTCTCGAATAACGGTTCATAGCATATAATGGAGTACATTGATTATCATATTAATTTTGGTGTAGTTGCATTTATGCAAAATATGAATGTAATTTTTTTTATTGTAAGTGTTCATAATATTTCATCATTTATTTGATCAGGCAAAGGTTCTATTCATATTTCAGCCGCGTCACATACATATATTTTCGTACTATATTTCGATACCTCCCACTGACCTCGAAATTGAATTAAAATGTTTAATGTTAAAAGCCCTACTATTTCTTTGAAAAAAACAAAATTCGAAAAAAAAACGAATTTGAACGAAACGAACGCGGAAAAAAATAAAGAAACAAAACAATAAAAACAGAAAATGACCAAAAACTATGGTATGGTTTTCATTTGAGGTATTGATTTTGAACCGCAGCTGGAGCGCCACAGTCGCGCCAACGCGCGAGCCACTTTTGCAGACTAGTGTATTACTAAATTACTAGAGGCGTCGTTTCTACAAGCGTCTAAATATCTTTCTAATTTGTGGTCTCATTTCAAGGCGTCAAGAATAAGGAGGACAGTAATATTCAGTGTAACTTACCGATCCTGTCTCTCCAATGACATTAGCAAGGTCAACCTCATTCTCCGGCCAGAGACAAGCAGGTCTCACCCAATCGGTGTAGGTGACTGGTTCTCTCAGTTCTAGGATGCCTAGGTCGCGGCTGTACGCAGACGCGTTGTATTCTGGATGGACTTTTATGTCTGACACCTGTACAATTTTAACAATTGTAAGTAAAAGTTTTGTTTGTACCAAGCTCCAAATCTAGGGTCGCCTGTACTATTAGTAGCTAGTTCCTTCGTCCATTAAGTATGTTGATTTAGAATAATTAATAACGCACACACTCAACATAGACCCTCTCTAGGGAAACCCTGTATCGCGGGTGCCATGGGCACACACATAGCCAACCACAAATTACACCCAAACTCACGAGAGAAATAAATGTAGGCCATACAAATATTTCTTCCGGCTTGGGAATCGAATCTGGGACCTCTGCGTGGCAGTTCGGCTTGGTAACCGTTCGGCCACCGAGGCAGTTAACTAAGCCTACTACTCGTAAAAATATTTTTATAACGAAAAAAATTGCTTGTTTTTGTAGTTACAGTGTTTACTTTTAATTTTTATGGTGATTGTTGTTTTATTTTATGGAGATGTTGGTGAAATTACACGCTTATGGGACTTGTCAACTTACGTTTCAGGGTGACGGGCGCAGTGGCAGTGATTCTTTGCGATCTAAAGCTGTGAGTGGCACTGTAACTGCTATGGACAGGCGTGTAGCTTACTTAATCGATTAGTTCCATGTGCCTACTGTTTCATTAGCACCCTTACCCTTCAAAACCCGAACGCAGCAATTCTCATATTATTACAGCTTTGGTAGTGGCAGTGCCCCTCAGAACTTTACGATTTATTTCTCTGAGTTGCAGTGCAACTGTTGGACATACAACTTACCACCAGGCGCACGAAGTGTTCATCAATGACGGGATGAACACTTCTTTTGATATCATAAAAAAAGGTTGTTATCTATTATCTATTCATATAAGCAGTACCTATCTAAGTAGATAATTAAATAAATTTGATTAAATGTTTAAATTTTTGTTTAATTGATATTGAATTATTTTTTATGTGTAACTACTCCACTAGTTTATTATAATTATTAATACAAAGATCGAACACACAGAAAAAAATTTCCTTTCGGCCGGATTCGAACCGACGTCTTCTAGCATACCGTGGCAGACGCTATACCAAATAAGCACGAAGCGGACCTCACGAATTTTTCTATGTGCTTGTTTACGTATCTTTATATTTGGTTTTTCAACGACTTTACCCGTAGCGCCATCTATGAGAAATCCATGAAAGTATTTCGTTACCCAATTAGACCTTTACAGCTACCAGTCCCGGCTAGAGATGTCACTATTCACTGCATTTAAATTAAATGTTCTTCCAATATTTGTTACTCACCAGTCTGATTTGAACGCCATCAACGGAAGTTCTCAAGTTGTGTTTTCCCAAGTAAACTGTGAGTGTGTTCCTGTTAACAACACGATTGGAGTTTCTGCGTGTCACGCAATGAGCTGCTGTGATGACATGACTATGGGAAACCAGGGTACCTCCGCAGATGTACTTGTTGTCTACCGTCTGGAAAAGCGTTGATGTTTTTTGAAACTCCGTGTTTCAGGTAATTAAAAAGAATCATCAATTAGCCTATTGCAGTCTACTGCTGGATATAAGCCTCCCCAAGTGTACATCATAGTGCCCGATCATCCATTTTCCGCATCCAACCATCACCCGCGACCTTCTTCAGATCGTCGGTCTACCTTGCAGGGGGACGTCTTACGTTACGTTTGCCGAGAAGTAGTCGTCCTACGTTACGTTTGCCGAGACGTGGTTTCCACTCGAGAACCCGTCTACACTATCGCCCATCGGTTCTGCGACAGATGTGGCCAACCCACTAAATTTGTGGACAATGTCCACAAATTTACAATGTCCACAAATTTAGTCTTATGCCGATGATAACTTCGTTCCGGACTTTGTTCCTTAACGAGATACCCAGCATAGACCTTTCCATAGCTTGCTGAGCAATGTGTATCTGTGAGCCAGTTTGACCGTCATATTCCACATCTCGGCTCCGTAAGTCATGACAGGTAAGACGCGTTGGTTATAAACCCTGGTCTTCAGGCACTGCGGGAGTGGTGACAAGAAGACATCAGACGCAGTTTCCCAAATGCTGCTCAACCCAGCTGCACTCTCCTAGCTATTTCACGCTCGAAGTTGTCTCTGCCTAGTTGCAGGGTTTGCCCGAGGTAGACATATTCTCGGACAACTTCGAGCGTTTCGCCATTAATCGAGATCGATTCCGGGATGACGATCTCATTGAACAAGACCTTAGTCTTGTCCAAATTCATCCGTAGACCGACCGATAATAAGGCAGCATTAAGGCTGTTAAGCATTTTCTGCAGATTCTGCAACGATTCCGCCATTATAAAGATGTCGTCGGCAAAGCGAAGGTGTGTGAGATTTTCGCCATTGACATCCAATCCGGTCTGTTTGTCCATCCAATCTGTTTGAGAACAGTTTCGGAGAGATAACATCTCCCAGTCTCACACCTCTGTGCAACTGGATGGGTCTTGTCTCGTTGCTTTATACTTGGACGGACATCGTGGCCTTGCTGTAGAGATTTCTCAGCACCTCTACGTACCGTCAATCGACTTGACATCGGTGCAAGGATTCCAGAACAGCCCAGGTTTCGATGGTGTCGAAGGCTTTCTCGTAGTCCATAAATGCTTGACACAGTCGCTGATTATACTTTTCGGACTTCTGTATAATTTGCCGAATAGTGTGTATGTGGTCCACGTTGCTATGGCCTTTTTGAAACCCTGTCTGTTCCGGTAATAGAAACCGTGTATTATGTTATGTGTTATGGAAACTCTCGGTTAACGTTCTTGACTTGTCCCGACATACTATTCATACCTGGGTCTGGTAAAGAGCGATCTGCCAGGGCCACTGTCCTTCATAGGTTGGTTTCCCATTCACAATCAAAGGGTTCGGACTGTAGCGCATCACACGCCCGCATTCGCCCTGAAAAAGAAACAAAAATTTTTGAAATTTTAGAAACAAGACTTTTTAAAAAAAAGCGCGGAAGAAATTACAATGGAAGTGCCATAACCCTCGATTACTATCAGAACAGAACCGATGTCGCCAAAACTCACACGTCCTTAATTTAAAACACTATGAAATCTTGATATTAATTGATACAAATTCTGGATTGTTAATATAATTTAAACTTTACCCTGCTGGCATATCGTTGAAAGTTTAATGACCTCAATACCTATTATTACAAGTTACGACGTTTTGATATTATATTGGAATTCAATATTAATGTGCTGCCATCTAGCGGTTTATTGCTGAACGACGACGAATTGTAGTTATTAATTTAGTTCTCCAAACAAGAAGTTGCCATATTGCAGGGGTATAAGCTTTACTTTCGTTTCTTGCAACAAAAAAAAACTGTTTCGGTAAACAGAAATTTTAAAATTGAATAAAATAAGACTCCGAATATCACCACGGATAATATTTTTGGTGCAGCTATAATTTTTGCGCTCCAAAACAGCACAAAAGGCATTTTTCTAGGATTTTAGAGAATTTGCACGAAAGAATGATACAACCATACCACACAAAGCGTAAATGGCAGACTGAGCTCAGACAGGTCTTTCGAGACCTATAGTTGGCACGCGTCCGACGCTAACTAACCACTTGTACTGCATTTATTGTTCTGTAATTAAAACTCACCTGGTTATTATTTTGTTGGTTATAATAATTGTTGTTGCTGTTTGGTGGTCTGCTGGGTACCACGATTGTTGGTCGTTCACCTGTGAAGTACTCGGCTGGATCTGCGCGACTGCAGACAATTATATTATACATTGTCTGTATAATACACTCGATATAGGTTTAGTAAGAATATAATATAATAATTTATTTTATATTATCAGTGTCGCAATATTACAATCTAAAGTAGAATTATTAATACAAAGATCGAACACTTAGGGTGGTTTCAGGTGGTGTCATCGAGTATATAACCAGAAGTAGAGACGAAATAAGGGCCATATATTCCTTGTAACACATTAGCGATACAGAGCTCTTATAAATATCAACTCTCGTTTGCACTGAAATATAGACAGACCAACTACTGACCTGTGTGTACGTCTCCGTATATTCCAAAAAATATTCTGTATTTATAAAGACCGTATTTATTGTAATAAAGATAATATCTCTAACAATGCCGTGCTGTTCTATTCGGTGGTGTGGGAAAAACAGCAAAACATCTAATTACAAAATTAACGGAATCAGGTTTCATCGGTAATTAAATATGAAATTTGTAATTTTGCAATTTTCGTCCATTATAGCAAAGCTCAAGTTAACTGGTCGATTTGAAGTGAAACAGTTGACGACACCCATTGATGACATCCGTCAATTGTTTCGAACTTGGGCTAGCCAATCGGAGCGCAGATGTCACGGTAATGATATGGCAGAATAGTTTTGAAACAAATTAATTGACATTTCGTCTCTATTTCTGGTTATATACTCGATGGGTGGTGCACATTTATCTGCGGACCACCGGAGCGAAGTAACACGTGTGGCGTAGGGCACTTTTATTCGACACGAATTTCATCGCGCTTACCCCGCGTTGCTGCGCAGCGACCGCATGCGTCTAAGAGAATCCCACACTAGCATCTTTCGAGCGTCAGCGTCTTGCCAACACACGCACAGCGTCGACACGACGTCCGCGCGGCGACGACGCCACCCAACACCAGCACTGAGCGATTACTGTCCTGAATAGTGCGGGCGGGCGTTAAGTCGCGGTCGCGCGGACGTCATGTCGAGTAGTGTAGGGGGTCTCTAACTGACTATTTATTTAGCTTTTACGTTTTAACTTAAATGCCTGGCCTGAAGCCTGGCTTGAATTTGGTCTACGCGGCGGCCGGCGCGGTTGTATTATTCAGAGGAATTTAAATGTTGTTGCCTAGTAAATAGAATTCAGATTCGCCATTAATGTACACGAAGGCGTGGTAACTGGGCGGTAAAACTTTCTCCTCGTGTAATTGGGCGCTGAGAACATCGTTTTATAGTGACGCGGATTGCTCCGTACGGAACAAGCTCCGCGTGAGCTCCGCACTAGCTACCAGTGCGTTCATTGTAGGCGACTGTCTTCCGTGAATATCAGCACTAAATAAAATACTCGGTTCGGAGCACTGCGGATTTTATGCATGCAGATGGTCCGCAGGCGGACAGTCCGTACGGACCGTACGCACAGCTGTGAAACCAGTCTTAGAAAAAATTCCTTCGATCGGGCTGGATTCGAACCAACGTCTTTCAGTAAACCGTGCCAGACGCTATGCCAACTAAGTCATCTAACGAACTAGCGAACCTTACGAATGTCTTTGTTGCAGATCATTGTTTATGGTTTTTAACGACTTTTTTGCTGTAGCGGATGTTCGATCTTTGTTTTAATAATTATAACAAACCAGTGGAGTAATTCCAGAAAAATAATTGAATACCATGGTGGTCAAATATCGTGATATTCTACAAACTTAAAAATTAAAATATCGATACCAGAAGTATCAATTAATGTAAGGGACATACAACGGTTTTTGAGGAGAGTCAAAAAACAATTTTATTTTTTTAAATTTAACTTTTTACTGTCTGTTCCAATTTTGATTATGTCTAGAGCAAAGTTTTTTAGAATTTCTTCTTCTTTCATGCTATAAACGAAAGATTTAGGAATGTGGTTTAAAATATGGCATGTCCCTTACATTAAAAAAAGATGATTAGTTGAGCCTTACGTTACTAATATTTTGTGTTAAAGGATCCATTACAATAGAATTACGTATAACTTTCTATTTCTATTCATGCTTACACTATGCTCGACGGTTTACACATAAAATATTAGTAACGTAAACACAACTAAACATCTTCTATAAATGTTTTTTAATGTAAGGGACATACTACATTTTAAACCACTAGGCATTCCTAAATTTTAATAATACTAATCGATGGAGCGGAAACTTTCGAATCCAATGATACATATGTATCATCTCATTTTCGACAAAATGCCTCTCACACTAATTGATACTTCTGGTATCGATATATTGTCAAGGGATAATATTTTCAACGGATTATCCCTTAAAAACTACTTTATTTATTTTATAGTATGTATACTGCTTTATTTTATATTCCTCATTGTTTATATTAATGAGACCTTCATTAATATAAACAATAAAAACATACTATAAAATAAATAAAGTAGTATAATTAAAAATAAAATAAATACACACAAATATTGTCAAAAACAATGACGTAAAATAATAATTACAATTTCTTCGAAAGCATGCAGAAAAGTATTTTTGTAATGGCGCCAAAAATTTGTAACAATTTACCGAAAGCACTAAAGTCTGAGGAAAAACCTTATGCTATTTTCAAAGCAATTAAACAATTTACTAACTAATAAAATGTACAATAAAGTCAGATTTTTTAAATGACAAATCCCTATATTAATGTCTAATTTTTGACATTTGCATATTTATTTTGACGTTATTATTATTATTTTGGTATTTTACAATAAATATTAAATGACAGTCAGAAAGAACTTGTAACCGCTGTGAGACATGTCTCCTAATTGCGCTCGCTTTATTAATGCTGCCGCAGATTATTCTTCCACGTTTGACGAAATTGGCAGTTTTGATTTAAATGACGTAAACAAAAGAAGAATGTTTATTTGAAACCCTAGGCCTGTGGGATCTCGACGCCCTTGCCTTCTTTATGGTTAAATAAGTGCGCATTTAACTTTCTTCTCACTTGGATGGAGCGTGCACTATAATAATACCTACTCTCGCCTTGAATAGGTCCAACTTATAGCGTTCAGGGACCAAGTTTGCTGGCAGGGAATTTCACTTCAATGCCGTACACCATAAAAATGTGGTATTAACGCTTCGTCATCTAGTCCCCCGATGATAGAAAGGGGATGACGGAATTCCATGCAATCACATCACGCACTCTCCGTGATATATCTTGTAGAATACGATAGATAAGTAGGCTACTTTACGGCGGTGTTCAAGGCATATTAAATTAAATGTAAAAATTAATAACCTAGCCTAACGTATTAGCATAACTACACAAAGGGGAAACGTTGTTTTGCCAAAATTGTGGGCTCCCTGCTGCGGGAACCACATTTCGTCTATTTAATATGGCCCTGAAGACTAGATTTAAGCCTTTAATGTGTGTTAGCCCTTTGTAGCTTTATAAATAATGAAATAACTTTAAACCTAACGTTTACTATGGGTAATATTATTCACCGTTCAATTTTGACGTTGAATTTAGTGACGTTTTAAATGAATTTTAGTAATTAACTTCCAACAAAAAGATGGGTTCTCAATTCGTATGTATTTTTTTTATGCTATGTTACGATCGATCTCGATGATTTTTTTTAGAAAATGGGTACCTCATTTGTGGTCTCAGTCATAGATATAGAAATATCTATGGTCTCAGCCAAAGTCGAAGAAAATATTCCACCTTTAAATGTGGTCAATTATGCAACGCTCCTTGTCAGAGTTCGTTCCGGTAAGTACTGCCACCTTACCTATTTCTGCCGCCAAGCAGTAATGTGAGCATTGCTGCGCTCTCGTTTGGAAGGGTAAATGACTATGATGATCAGTAGGATGATGATGATCAGTCGGTGCGTGTTGAGCGGGAGACCCTTCCTCGCGTTTTGACCGGTCTCCGGTGCGAAAAAAGAATACAGCTGTTGCCGAACAAAGCCGAGCAGTAGGTACTTTAAAGGACTATCCACACACATCAGGGCCGTGCCCCGGACGTGGACGGGGCGTGCTAGTTTGTATGAACTGCGGGTCCGTCCCGGCGTCGGCCCGGACACGGTTATGTGTCAACGAATTCATACAAATTATACGCAACGATATTTTTTTAAGCGCCTGACGTAACACGGCCCGTCCACGTCCCGGGCACGTTCCGGATATGTGTGGATAGACCTTAAGGTGCTGGTGAAATTACAGGCACATGGGACTTGTCAATTTTATGTCTCAGGGTGACGGGCGGTGGCGTAGCGTGGGAGTGGCGGCGAGCGCGGCAGAAATGATTTTTTTTTACTTCAAATTAGAAAACAAATTCCACTATTTGATATAACGATATCCTGTACAACACAAAGATAGCGACGGCAGGCGGACATAGAAACACAAGCCTAGGCTGCTTGTATACTTTTGTAATCGTGAAAATAGAGGCAGCAAATTTAAGACTGGCCCCAGGCGGCATATATCGACGCTACGCTACTGATGACGGGCGCAGGTGGCAGTGTCCCTCAGACCTTTGCGATTTAAAGCTCTGAATCGCACTGCAACTATTATGGACAGGCGTGTTGGCTTCCACCAGACGCACGACTTGTTCTTTCCGTCAATGGTATCATAAAACCAGAAATAGAGACGAAATATCATTTAGTTTGTTTGAAAACTATTCTGCCATATCATTACTGTAACAACTGCGCTCCGATTGGTCAGGCCGAGTTCGAAACAATTGACGGGTGTCGTCAACTGTTTCACTTCAAATCGACCAGTTAACTTGAGCTTTGCTATAATGGACGAAAATTGCAAAATTACATATTTAATATTTAATTACCGATGAAATTTGATTCCGCTTATTTTGTAATTATATGTTTAGGTGTTTTTCCCTACGCCACTGAATTAAACAGCATGCCATTGTTGGAGATATTATCTTTACTACAATAAATCAAAGGTTAGTTGGAAGAAATCTCTTTATGGGATAAGCTCGCCTTTGTACACAAATATTTAAATTGTTTCTGAAAATTTGTAAGTTACTTTGTGGTACAATAAAGTGTTTAAAAAAAATAAATAAAATAAAATAAATACAGAATATTTTTGGAATATACGGACACGTACACACAGGGCCGTTGTTGGCGCTGTCTATATTTCAGTGCAAACGAGAGTTGATATTTATAAGTGATGTATCACTGATGAGTTACCAGGAATGTCTGGCCCTTATTAGGTCTCTATTTCTGGTTACATACTCGATGCATAAAACAAAAGATTAGGCTTGAACACCCGTATACATGGCACACGACGGGCATGCATTTTTTTATAATATCAAGTGATGGGACGAACAAGTCGTGCGCCTGATGGGATGGTACACGCCTGTCCATAACAGTTGCAGTAGCATCTGAGGGGCACTGCCACTGTGCCCGTCACCCTGAGACATAAGTTGACAAGTCTCATGTGCTTGTAATTGCATTACTACGCTTCAAAACCTATAGTAACAAACAACAAAAAAAATATAGTAATGTCTCAGCATTACTGTGTTCCGGTACTGCTTGAGGGCAGTACTTCCCTAGACGAACTCATTCACAAAGACAATGCATACACATATACCGAGCGTGTAACGCTCTTAAATTACCATACTTGTCTTATAATAGTCATAATACTAAGGAGGAGTATTATTGCGTGTTACGCCATAATTACCTATCACTATCAAAGTCGTCTTCATCAACCTTTGGTCGAGACGAGGTCATCCAAGAGGGTGCGGTGGGTGTAGCCGGATACATCTCGGGTATTCCACCGCTAGAAGTCTGGGAGCCCACGTTCTGTGCCGGGACACGTCCATCACTTCTGTCACGGTGTACAAATGTTAATATTGCAATAATGTGACAATTTAAATATATATATACATATGTATACAGGGTGTAAATTTGAGACGGGGCAGTAAGGCCAGCCACCTTAATCATTTTAGTTACAGGAAAACAGTTCTAGAAGACTATCCATGAATTTTGAAGATATTTTGATGGGCATTCACAGATTTTGGAAAAATGGTACAGTCAGCAAGATAAAAGGCAATTTTTATAAAATTTCTTTTTTATGCCTTCGATCCGGTCTCTAAGGATCAATAGCCTCTATGGGGCCAACTGAGGTAAAAGTACTCCAAATGTCAGAAATCGCAAAAAATTTTTACCATACATTTTGTAGGGACGTATTTACTAATCAGTTATTCTAGGTAATTAAGGAAATAACAAATTGACAATGTATTATGTATTAGTTTAATGAAATTTATAAAAAAATACAACAGTGTTCAAGAATTGAAAGACGCACTTGCAGCAATTTTCAATGCAATCCATCCGAGTAAAATTTCAGCCGCTAATTTGCTCTTTGTGGAAGAGAGCGAATTGATGCATCTGCCAAGGCGGCAATAAATTACTATTATATATTTATGCTCGCCCTTACTATTATATATTTTTTATGTTATTTTGATTTTTGTTACTGTTTTTATTTTGAAATACATAATACGTTGTCAATTTGTTAGTTTCCTTATTGTTAGTTTCCTTAACCTAGAATAATTGATTACTAAATATGTCCCTACTAAATGTATTTTAAAAAGTTTTTGCGAATTCTGACATTTCGAGTACTCTTACCTCAGTTGGTCCCATAGAGACTATTGATCCTTAACAGAGACTGGATCGAATGACATAAAAAAAGTTTCGTGAAAATTGCCTTTTATCTTGCTGACTGTACCATTTTTCAAAAATCTGTGAATGCCAGTCAAAATATCTTCAAAATTCATGGATAGTCTTCTAGAACCGTTTTCCTGTAACTACAACGATGAAGGTGGCTGGCCTTGCTGCCCCGTCTCAAATTTACACCCTGTATATACTACTAATAAAAGGGATGATATTATTTGATCCTCAAATAAATAATTGATCTATTGTAAATGTGCACTTTTTTAAATAAACGATATATATTTTTTATGTTTCATATATAAGTATATACGGATAAATTGTAAATGAACTGCATTCAAAGTAACACTATATTATGTTTAAGCATACTACATTAATATTTGGTATTTAAAAATAATATTTGATTCTCTTTTTTATCATTGGTCCTTTTTTAACGATTAATGACATTTATAACCAGTATATCTTTTAATATTAATTTCCTAATAAATCTTGGTTACTTGGTTGCGCACCCATTCTGTAGGTTAGGTTACGTTAGTATATGAAAAAGCAGGAAGCCAGTTTGCTTGCATTTTCGAACATGTCTTCAGGTCAAATTATATTATAATTAATATAATATTAGTACACAAATATAGTCAACATTTACTTAGTTATCAAAATTTTATTTTTGATACTCATTTGTCTTACTTTTGAGGCCCAACATAAAACTATCAAAATTAATTTATACATATCAAACATTTTTTGCGTAGCTCTGAATAGATTAAAATATCAATCGATTTAATTTATTTTATATCTCAAAGAAAAAGGATCAATCATTAAAAAAGATGACCGTTTAGATTTTTTTGCCTGCTGCTTTTGCAAATTTAAAATATATTTTAAATATGGAAATAGAAACGGAAACAGATGCGAAAAAGGCGGAACTTCCGCAGTTGCGGAAGCAGACACTGAGGCCCGTTGCATCATTATAAACCTGCACGAATTTCTCTAACTTTTCCATCCATTTACATAGATTTGCAGGTTAATTCCGTTAGGTAATACCATTAATGAAATTAGCATAATAATGAGAGACGCAATTAAAATATCATTACGGGATCCGTAAGTCGAAATGAGGAAAATTTCGATTCGAAAAATTCCGTGAACGTCTATGTCAGGGTTACTTTTAATAAACCCAAAATCTCTAAACACGTTACTCCTATCATTAAAATAAACAAGTTATCGTCGTTCGGTTTTCGAAAATTCGTAGAATTTGGTAACGGTCTGAATAAATCTTTGTCAGGGTAAACCCACCTCTCAAGGACCTTAACTCTAATAATTATCTTAAAATCACTAGTCATTGTAATTCCAATGAGAGTCCACTGGGGTTGCAGTTACGATAGTATTTATTTCAGCTCATTAGCTCGGAAAGGCTTGCTTTCTCATTAGAAATCTGCGCGCTATAGTTATTTCTGATACAAGTGCGGAAAGTTAGTTATTTTTCACGAGTCTCGAGGCTTCTTGGCCTGAGCCAGAGGCGAGGGTCAACATGGGGTCAACACTCGAGACAAGTGAAAATGACAAATCCGCACGTGTACCAAACGACGTTTTTTAAAACATTTGCGAAAAAACTACATTGAAAGTAAAATAAAACAGTTTATTTTAGTGGTCTCGCGTAATACTCACCTCCGGTCATTGTTAATACTCAATCAGCTATCTTTATGGAAAATATTTTGGTATTTTTAAATGTAATCCGTTGTTTTTTAAATACCTATGCATTTTAAACGAATAAGATGTTTGTAAGTTAATATAAGTTTTAATGACGAATGAATTACGTCACAAAGCACATACATATTACATAAACATACTATCTCTTTAGTTCTATGTTTAAGACTTGAACCAACAGTAAATTTAAAAAAAATGGTAAAGTAAAAACATCGAGTATGTAAGTATATAACTAGAAATAGAGACGAAATGTCAATTAATTTGTTTGAAATCTATTCTGCCCTATCATTACTGTGACAACTGCGCTCCAGCCGGGTGTCGTCAATTGTTTCACTTCAAATCGATCAGTTAACTTGAGCTTTGCTATAATGGACGAAAATTGCAAAATCACATATTTAATATTTAATTACCGATGAAATGTGATTCCATTTGTTTTGAAATTAGATGTTTTGCTGTCCCACACCACCGAATAGAACAGCACGGTACTGTTAGAGATATTATCTTTATTACAATAAATACAGAATATTTTTTGGAATATACGGAGACGTACACACAGGTCAGTAGTTGGCCTGTCTATATTTCAGTGCAAACGAGGGTTGATATTTAAGAGCTGTATCGCTAATGTGTTACTAGGAATACATGGCCTTTATTTCGTCTCTACTTCTGGTTATATACTCGATGAGTGAAAAGCACTAGAGCGAAAAATAGAACGACTAATTGTGTTTATTATATTATTTTAAATCGTCGAAGAACTAAAATAATTTCAATAATCACTTAATCACACAAAACAAAAGTACAAGCAAGAATAAAAATTGATGAGGTGAAAATTCAGAACGCATCCGAAGATAAACCTTTACTTTTACTTGCTAAAACTTTTACTTTTATTTTTTTTTAAACTGATGTTTTATAGTTCAACGGTTTTTCCTTCATCTACCACTTTCCTCGCTATGGTGAGGTGAAAAGTTGTGTGTTTCGCTCGGCAGCAAAGTAGTTTTGCGTCTCGTGCCTTGAAACCATCATCGCTACGGTCAGGAATCTACTTTTGAACCACTCGCTTCGCTCATGGTTCAATCTTAGCTTCAGTACACATTTTAACACTTAGTTCAATACAAGCAAGCACTCGTGTCAAACGACAACTTTCCAGACTTGCATAACAAATACATAACTTACAAATGACAATTATAGCGATATCTCTAGCCAGCTATGGTAGCTGTAAAGGTATCTCTCTATTCATTTCCTATGTGAATTTTAGACGCCGCCTATTATCACGGGCTCGCTGTGGTAGTCTCTTTGGACGAGAGTTGCCAAGGAGAGTGTTACACTTGCCAATATTTTCGAAAGTTCTTAGGTTTTCGCGATTGTTATAAATTGTTGTTCCTTTTTCAAACAAAAAACAAATATATGGGATTTAAATCCGGAAAAATAGTTTAATTTCCTATCTTCGAAAGTGTTTTAGTTATGTGTTATCAAATTGAGTGCTATCAAATTGTTCGGAATTATTTGCACATATAATTATTATGAAATATTACAGTCTATGAAGTTCACGAGGTTACATTATTCGTTAAGCGGGAACGATAAATTCCCCAAAAACTGGGCTTCAGTTGAAAACGAAAATTTACCACTTTCTCTGTAGTACATAAAAAATATGTGCAAAATTAGATATTTTGTTCTTAAATAATTCGTTTTAGGCTTTTATGTTAGTCTGTTTCCGGAATTTTATAAGTACATTGTACAGTTTAACAAATTAGTACATTCTTTGGAAAATATCTTTCGGTATAATTAAATTTTTATTGAATGTCAGACTGATTCACCTCCATTCAATTATGTTTCTGTGAAATTACTCCACTAGTTTGTTATAATTATTAATGTAAAGATCGAACACTTGGAAAAAGTCCTTCGATCTTCGGCCGGATTCAAACCGACATGTCTCGTAGCAAACCGTGTCAGGGGGTCTATTCTCGATCTCCGTCCGACATTCGTCCGAAACAATTACTGCCAAGTAAGCAATACTTGACCAAATGAAAAGACGCGTGATGCGAATGAAGCTTCATACTGGATACTTGTCTTTTAATTTTGTCGATTGTTACTTATTTGACAGTAATTGTTTCGGACGGAGATCGATAGTAGCCCCAGACTGAGTCAGACACTATGCCTTAGTTGGCATGTAACGAACCAGCGGACCTCACCAATTTTTCTAAGTTCTTGCTGTCGGTTCTTTATATTTTTGTTCTTCAACGACTTTTTAGCGGTAACGCCATCTATGAGAAATCTATGAAAGTGTATTTATATTTATTGTAAGATCGTTATTTAAAAGTGAATATCTAAACGTTTGGTCTAGCAAATCAGTTTTTTTCCGCTTCTCTAACCTAACCTAAACCTTTGACTTTAGTCCGACCTATCTCTAACTAAATCAAAAACAAAGTTTTGATTTAATGGATGTAAATTCTAATAGAAACTTTATATGTGCTGTGAAAATACACACAAAGTTAGACAGACTTTAAGTGAGACTAATGCGAGTGGACTCGGTTTTGCTATTGTACTGACCCTATGGTGCTTAATTATGCTAAATAATTTTTGAGTTGCGTATTACTTAAGTGTAAGGGCACTTTCGAATTAGACGCTTGTAGAAGTGCTGCGGTGGTGCGTCTGCGGCACCTCTAACTATAATTTTCATACAATATAGAAGCGTAGCTGCAGCGCTACAATCGCGCGCGTCACTTTTGCAGTCTAGATATTGTATAAAAAATTAGTCATTTCACAATTGATTTCACATAGCATGATTTCGGCGGCGTTTGAGATTTGAAATTTCTAGAAATGTAGTAATATAAAATCGAATGAAAAAAATCTGTAGCACTGGTTAACGGAGGGGGTACGTAGAACGACGAATTAGATGCAGACTTCCGTGTAAAATAAGTATATTAGATATAAAAGGCAACAAAAAGTTATGCGGCTAGGGAACCAACAGTGCTTCACACGTGCGTGAAAGCGCAAGTTTTGTGCCGAAGCTTAAGTAAGATAACAGTAAGTAGGGACGATTCGATACAAGTAAATACGACTAAGTAGTCGATACTTTTGTTTCGATATCGAGTACTTTCAGTCTCCAATCCCTTCTTTCGATGTTTACTGGGTATCGGAAGACAAATACTGGTGTCGAATCGAAACACACACGCGTAAATATTGAACCTTAATCCACTTTTCAGGAAAATGTCATCTTTTTTCCAAATAATTTTTCTTTCCATTTTAACCGTTTTACAGCAAACAAATGCAAACCTATGCAAATCTATGGTTCCTTTGGATAATTTTTGGATGAATTTTGGACATACATCTCAGTGAATGAGTGAAGTTCACAAGGTTTTTGTATTACGGTTTTTTTTTATAATGTTTAGTTTAAGTGTTATTACGACAAATTCGCACTAATAATCCATTATCAAAATCTCGATTAGCGGAATTATCGATTGTATCGGTTTAGCTATAATACTTTAAAAAAGAAAAGACCGCTTATTTATTTAATTGTGCAGTACGTGCTTGTTAAAAAAATATTACTTTTTTTATTATTATGGTTCCGCCAAAATCTAAAGTATGGACATATTTTATATCTCCTAATAAGGTATCGATACTTTTGAAGTACTCATATGATTAGTATCGCATGACGAATTGATTACTATTCATTTGAGTAGGTATCGATACTTTGATGGTATCAGAACATCCCTAACAGTAAGTAAGGACCGAAACGTCTCAATAACTAGAGTGCCGTTCAGTGCCATACAAATGCTATAGCGGTAGAAAGCATTTATGGTAAGCATTCTCAATACTTTTCATTTGAAGGACACTGCAGTTGGCCGCTGGACGCCTTGACTGCGCCACTGGAAGAAAAGGGCGAGCTGAAGGCTCATAACCCGTAGATGAATCCTGATTGCTTTTTTTTTTGAAGGACACTGCTGTTGGTCGCTGATGGCCTTGACTGCGCTACCGGAACGGAAGAAAAGGGCGAGCAGAAGACCAATATTAAACATGAGATGACTTATATAAACTATTGGAGTTAACAAAACGATAGCGCGCTTCAGAGTACAACTAATGCCATCTAGCGGTGACGCAACGGAACTAATGGCGTGTTAAAGTTATGGTTATGTATTACAAATCTATTTTAATATCTTACCGAGATAATTTGTAATGAGGAGAAAATCGATTTACTGAAAATAATTAGGCTCTTTATCACAAAGATACTAATATCTAACTGATATAGATCGTCGATTACGTTACATTACACCGAAAATAATTTAAGAACAAATAAACAAAATAAAAAGGATTAAATTATTACGTTATTAAGGTATCAAAAAATTACACAGCAAATAAAAAAATAAATAACACTAAATAAAAAGACAACAATAAAGCATAAAATCAACTGCAACGAAACGTAATTTGAAGAATTTATTCCAAAAGCGTCACGCAATGCTCAAAACAAAACGACCCGCATACAAGGTGTATGCACTAGTATACACGAGACACATGACAGCTGATTCGATTTATCGATTTTATGATGTAAATTTCTACGGATAAAATATTCCGCTTTACGTATCAAGCAATTGGGGCAGTTTATTTTTATCTTTATCATTTCATTTTCTTTTACTTTATGCAGGGCATCGCACGGCTATGCCACATGGACGGACTTTACGGACAAGAGCACACTTCTGAGACTACACATTTCTGTTCGAAAATCTCCTCCAGTGCAACGGAACAAGATATGTCAATGTGCTGTTGATGTACCTTAAATACCGTAGATAGAAAATTTTACTGAAAGAAGACTTAATTTTCATTTTAACAACAATTGGAATTGCATTCAAAGATTTTTAAATAATCATCTGTCTTAATCGGGAATCGAAACCGGCCAAATGTGAAAAAACTATACTGATCGAAAGCCTCAATCATTAGGTTAAGAAAACAATTCTTAATTGTTTTCTTAACACAGCATCTTAAATAAAAAAGACCATGAATTTTTTTAAATTTTATTAATTAGTTCAATATTTTTGATGGTATATATATATTAGTCTGTATGTTCAAAAGTTCCAAATTTGGGGTCTTAGAGTTTTTTACTTACTGCAGTTCTCAGGGTGATCTTCTTTACGAAGCATTGTTTAATTAAACTGACGATATCAAATTGTCATTTCCTTACCTAAGAAATAAAGATATATTTGAATACTTACATGCTGTATGGATTCGGGTTGCTATAATCACCAGGTTGGTTCAAAGTTGGAATATACACTGGTCCTTCTCCCGCCGGAATTCCATACACCGGTTTTGTGACCGGTCGGTCTTCTGGTCTGATATTTGGTCTTTCCTCGGGTCGGCTCTCCGGTCTTTGCGGGCGTGTACTTTCTGGTCTCGGTCGCGTTGATTCTGGTCTATATGTAAGTCGTATTGCAGTTTCTGATCCACTTCGCCTTAGTTCTACTGATTCTGAGACTACAGATTCAACATTGTTAGCATTGCAGATTTCTCTACCGTTCAATTTTATTGCTTGCAGTTTGGGTGGTTGGTTTAACGGATTATACTGAATGAAGAATCTGATTGTTTGCGATGGACCAGGTTGGATTTTCATGTTGGTGTTTATTATTTTGTAATCTATATTATCTGTTGTTGTTACGTTGCCTACCCAATTCTGAAAAGTAATTATTGTTATTATTATATAAACAAACGTAAAAAACAAAAAGAAAAAACGTGACCGAACGGTTACAATGCTGGTCTGCCACGGAAAGGTCCCAGGTTCGATTCCCGGGCCGGGAGAAATGTTTGTATGGCCTACATTTATTTATCTCGTGATTTTGGGTGCCATTTGTCTATGTGTGTGTCCATGGCACCCGCGATACTAAGTTTCCATAGTGCGGGGTTATGTGTGTGTTATTTTATTACGCCGCATAGGCTGTAGACCTTCCACTGATGCTGCGGTATGAGCAGCAAAAAACGCTGCCGCCCCGCTTCCGTGTGTGATTAGCCTAAATAAGTGGTTTATTAATTATTGCCTACGACATAGCCTTCTCTCAAATTGTGTTACAACATTAGTTTAGTTCATTAATATTAATTAATAATTAATTGTCAACGACATACGATAAGAGTGTTAGTTTTCGAATTCACAATATCGCTCTCGGTCTAATAAGGCCACGTTTGCAAGAATAACTTTTCAGGAGACAGGTTTAAAGATTCTGCTTTTTTAACGGACTTCAAAAAAAGGAGAAGGTTCTCTATTTGATTGTATGCTTTTTTTGTAAGTATGTTACGCGAGTGGCACTTGTGAACCGATTTTGATGATTCTTCTTTTATTGGAAAGAGAGTCCACCGAGTGGTCCCATTCAAATTTATTTGAAGAAATTCCCAAACTAGGGGACGAATGACTTTTGAGGTCGGTTTTTTAGTACTCTGTACTGAGATTATAATAATAAAAATATACGTTTATTTTCTCCACAAACATAACTGTTATATGAAGGAATAGGGAAAAAGGTTGACCTCGACGTAAATATTTCAACCACATTGAAATCCTTAAAAAGGTCAACCTAAGATGAATAAACCAGAGTTTTAATATACTGATGTGAAGTTGAAGTAAAAAAATCATGTATTCCATAGGTAAAAATATGTACACTTGAGAACGTAATTAAGTAAGGTATTGCTCATTCACTGTGCTTCCCTGAGAAGAACGAGCAAGAAGGGCAACAAGGGGTTGCTCTTTTCAAATAAACCGACATGCTATGGACTACACTTTGAATCAAATTTGGAATCTACAGCCATGACGTCTTTCCATACATCTTTATATAACACGTAGTTTTCAGTTTTGTAATATCGTCAAGGATTGTGCCATTACGCGTAACTAGCATTTGGTTATGAATCTCCATTTCGGTAATTTTGTCGCCAAATAAAATCCGCGTAAATGTCGTGGCAACCAAATTAGCGTGATTTACGAGAATCTATTGTTATCAGTCCGTAGAATTCAATTTTTAATGCTTACTGTGCAAAAATGACAACCGTAGCCATTGAAATAACAAAGTAATAACATTAAATCCCTCTCGTGTGAAATTTGCACTATCCCCGACGATATGACTTTTCATTTGAAATACTTTTAATGTAATTAATAATAATAATAATAATAATCTTATTGTTATTATTGTTCGCCGATTCTTGGAACTGAGTCCCTGACCCCGGCCGACTGTGCCATTGCCGGGAAATACCGCCTCTCCCATTTAAAAATTCAAAATTAATTTTTTAGGCCTTGGGAGAGGCGAGAGTTTAAAATAAATACGAAAATAATATTAGGGGTTAAAGTATGAAATTGCCGTTTTATTGCAATAGGTTCTTTGAATTTTCATAGAATCGTCATGGTTTGAGGTTTTCGAATGAAACTTTTTTCAAATGGTTTCTGTGATTTTTTTTTTTTAAATTTGAAACATTTGAATATCGACTTTCAATTGTTTTTGTTATTCAATTTAGACAAGAAAGATGGATACTGCGAAAATTCGAGTGATTTTTGAATACGAGTTCCGACGCGGAACTAACGCGGCAGAAACAGCCCGCAATATCAATGCTGCGTTTGGAGAGGGGTCTACTAATGAACGCACCGTGCGATTTTGGTTTAAACGCTTTCGTGATGGAAATTTCGACTTAAAGAACGAGCCATGAGCAAGACCGCCCACACAGGTGAATAACGATGAATTAAGAGAGATAGTGGAAGCCGATCCTAGTCAAACTACCCAGGAATTAGCGGCATGGTTTAACGTTACCTTACCCACAATATCGACTCACTTGCGTCAAATCAATAAAATAAAAAAATACGAAAAATGGGTGCCTCATGATTTGACTGATCTGCAGAAAGAAACGCGTGTTGAAACTTGTGTTGCCTTGTTGAACCGGTACAGAAATGAAGGAATATTGGATCGAATTGTAACATGTGATGAAAAGTGGATTCTTTATGATAACCGGAAAAGAAAAATGCAATGGCTGACCCCAGGTCAAATGCCACAACAGTGTCCTAAAGCAAAACTTACCAATAAAAAGGTAATGGTAACTGTTTGGTGGTCTCAGCATGGTGTTATTCACTATAGTTTTCTCCGATCTGGTCAAGCAATAACGGCAGATGTCTATTGTGCCGAACTCCGAACCATGTTGACAAAACCAGCAGTAAAACAGCCCCGACTCATGAATCGATCTTCACCATTATTGCTCCACGACAACGCGAGACCTCACACAGCACGAGAAACCATTTTGACCCTTCAGGAACTGCAGTTAGAAACCATTCGTCATCCTCCGTATTCACCAGACCTTGCTCCAACGGACTACCATTTTTTTCGTGATTTGGACAATTATCTACTTGACAAGAAGTTTTCTTCCCAGGAGGCAGTACAAAATGCTTTCACACAGTTTGTGCAGTCTAGATCGTCGGAGTTCTATCGCAAAGGCATTAATAACCTTCCCATTAGATGGCAGCAATGTATAGATAATAATGGCAACTATTTTGATTAAATAAATTTGTTAAAAATTTAAAAAATAAACAATTTAGATTTTCAGTACAAATCGGCAATTTCATACTTTAACCCCTATTAATAATCTAATAATAACAATAATAATAATAATCGATCTATTATCACGGACAGGACTATTCTTGCGAATAAGCCTGATATTGTGATATTGGATCGATCGCAGTCGAGGGTATTTCTTGTGGACGTCACCATCCCGCATGACGAGGGTCTCGTGAAAGCTGAAACCGAGAAACGCCGGAAGTATCTCGACCTGGCGCACGAGATCACCGACATGTGGGATGTGGCCTCCACTGAAATAATCCCAATTGTTTTGTCCGCAAATGGGTTAATTCCAGTCAGCCTTTCTAACAGCTTGAGGCGGTTGGATTTCTGTGGCGTGTCGCTTCCAGCACAAATGCAGAAGGCGGTCCTGCTCGATACGGCACGTATTGTTCGCCGATTCTTGGACCCCGGTCCCTGACCCCGGCCGACTGTGACATTGCCGGGAAATACCGCCTCTCCCATTTAAAAATTCAAAATTAATTTTTTAGGCCTTGGGAGAGACGAGAGTTTAAAATAAATACGAAAACAATAATAATAATAATAACACACACACTCAACATAGCCTAAAATTAGCATAAAATTGTAAGTGTTTTAAACTTAGGTAATGATAATATGCTCCAGAATCTTATTGTAAAAACGTATAGAGCTTAAAATAATCGTTTACCTTAATTAACTGCCTTTGTGGTTGAACGGTTACCACACAGAGGTCCCGGGTTCGATTCCCCGGCCGGGATAAATATTTGTATGGCCTACATTTATTTGCCTCATGAGTTTGGGTGTAATTTGTGGTTGTCTATGTGTGTGTATGGCACCCGCGTTACAATTCCCTAGTGCGAGTGTGCGTTATTATTATTATTAGTTAAACAAAATCGTAGTACCATGAGTTTATATTCTTTCTTATTTGAGTCATGTCACATATTTGAGTCATGATACCAGTCTTTCTAAACTTTCTCTGGGAGAAAAAGAGGGAGAGAGTGAAGGAATCGAAGAAGGCACGTTAGGAAAGGAGCTAGTGGAGGTTGTAAGGGCAGAATAGCGCCTCTGTCCGACAGAATGTTACCTCAGTACTGTAGTTAGTGTAATTAAAGAATGTTTGTTAAAAAGTGTAAAAAGTAATATCTAGTATAGTATATGTTATAGTATAATTGTTAGAATTGTAAATAAAAAATCGATGGATTTCTAGAATAGTGGCTCATCTCAAAATCACCTATTTAATCAGGAAGATGGTTTAAAAACAGCTGCAGTATATCTATCGTTTACAGGCCCACGTCACGTGATTGTTTTAAAAACTAAGAAGCTCGATGTCTTTTTTCACAATAAAAATTTATCACATTTTGAGTGCTATAAGACAAATATGATCTATTTTAGTTTAAGTATTACTAAATATACAAAGAACGAACACTCAGAAAAAACACTCAGAAAAAATTCCTTCGATCCGGTCGGATACGAACCGACGTCTTCTTGCATACCGTGCCAGACGCTATACCAACAAAACCACGGAACGAACCAACGGACCTCACGAATTTTTCTATGTGCTTGCATCGTGCCTTTGTACTTGGTTTTTCAACGACTTTTTAGTCGTAGCGCCATCTATGAGAAGTCTTTGACAGATTTATCACCCAGTTGTACCTTTACAGCTACCAGTCCTGGCGAGAGATGTCGCTATTCACTGTATTAATTAAATTTTTATTGAATTGATATTCAATTATTTTTTGTAATTATTTCGATCCGACCGGATCGAAGGAATTTTTTCTGAGTGTTTTTTCTGAGTGTTCGATCTTTGTATTAATAATTATAACAAACTAGTGGAGTAATTTCACAAAAAATAATTGAATATCAATTCAATAAAAATTTAGTTATTACTAAATATGTTAATGTCGTTTAATGCTAAGATATTGGTAATTAACTAACTTAAAACACTAACAAAACCAATACTAGAACATCTTACTGCAGCAAAATAAAACTAGAACTAGCACATGTTAAAGCAGCAAATCAAGGTTCAACATTGTTCGTAACCGTGCAGAGGTCGTCTTTGTAGCGGGAGACAGACGTGGTAGTATGCTTACGTATTCAACTCACCCCAAGCATTTCAGCTTTGCTATCCAAAATTATATTTAACCATAGCGATTGCAAAGCACTTTCCGTCGATAGCTTGATTACTCCATACCATATACCTAATTCTGGACTGATTTGTTCGTACGTGAACACGTTGGTACAAGGCGAGACAGGTGTACTCTGTTCTTGAGACGACACTGCTAGGATCAAGAGTAGAAGGGAGTTTAGTTGTCGAATCTGAAATTAAACATATGCGTTTGTAACTTGGAAGTCTTTCGTGATTATTTACAGAAGGATTGTCTCTACTCGTCGCTTGTCAGTCACCTTGTGACCGTGGAACGTGAACCGTAGAAAAATGAAAGGTCAAATTTTTTGCGGTAAGAAAATTGTAACTAGTCGCATTCTTGGGATAATAAGATATATCTGCGAAACGACAGCTTCAATTAGTCGATAAATTTTAAAGTATGGGCCCTTGTGAAAGAGTTCGTCCAGGGATGTACAGCCACCGTCGGACCACTGCAGCCGAATGGCCTGGTGGCGGGCAGTGCGGTTAGCGGATATCTTTTGGCAGAGATGACTGAAAATTATCTTTTGTGTGCTTCTAAAACTGAGTATTTAAGTAACGCTTTCTTGTTCAGAGCTTGTAATGCGTACAATAAGGATCATTTAGGCGTAGATATATTTTATTTGTCCTTTTCAAAATTTGTTAAGTCCATTTATGAACAATAATCTATGTTATTTGCTTTTTAGTTTATTTCTTTTTAGGTTTCTTTTTCTTATTTCCTTTGTGTTTAATAAAAGTAACATGTAGTTTTTCGTTCTTTTTAAGTTATGTTTATTAGTAGAAACTTTGCTGGGTTAAGTGATAACTTATTTTTTTAATATAATCTTGTAAACAAAGTAAAAACTGTTTGTTTCCCAAATACTATAATAAAAAAAAGAAAAAGTATTTGCCGACACTGTGCCCCAGGACAGTACGAAACGAGACACCGACGGTGATAATTGGTGACGGCGTTATTACTGCGGATGGTACGCTCCTACATGTAACGTGGCCAAACGTGGTAGTATAACAGCGATTTATTCCTGGCGAGACGGGACGTAGTACGCGTGGCCGCACACACCCTCGTTACGTCACTTTACCGCCGCAAATTAAGTCTGATCGCTTGCGTCGAGAACAAACCATGTACCGCGCCACCGCTCGAATCGCTGTAGCCTCCACAACGTTGCTCGCATTACCTTACTACTATAGTAGTAAAATGTTTCGTCCTTCGGGACAGTCTACTTGGCCAGATCTTACATAAATAATTTAATTTTCTGACATTTTTTCATTGGAAGGAGGTTGTTACATTTATAAGATGGCCATTTTGAAATTCGAACTTGTAACTGTGTAAGTGGTGTCAGTTTGAAATAAATACAAATTTCAGTCTTTTACTTAAAAAATGTGATGTTTTGCTGCATTTTCACTTAATGAGACCCACCTGTAGTTCTATTAGTTTCTTGCTACTCTGTTTGCACTCGGTTCTGTACTTTGTTATAGCCATATAAATTCAACTGCCTCCGTGGCCGAACAGTTACCATCCTGGTCTGCCACGCAGAGGTCGTGGGTTCGATTTCCGGCCCGGGAGAAATATTTGCATGGCCTACATTAATTTCTCTCGTGAGTTTGGGCATAATTTGTGGTTATCTATATGTGTGTTCATGGCACCCCCGATACGGTTATGATATATAAAGACCTTTTTATTAAGAAATTGTAAAAGTGACTCTAAATCATTAACATTCGTATTAAATGTAACATTATCGTTATAATGAACTGTTAAACTTTCTTTCGTTGTGAACTTTCTTCGGCTTGTAGGTGTCATCGGGATATTTTCCTTCAGCGAATAGCTCATATGAATCGATTCTAAGCGACAAGTCATACGTATTCTGTTAAAATTTTCAATGACAGTTTTTTCAATAGACTTTCGACGACTAAACGTCAAATTCCACAATCCAAGATGTCATTCATTAGTCGTTACCATCGTTACGTTTCGATTCTATTCATATCAACGTTCGTTCAAGTGCATCGAGTATATAACCAGAAATAGAGACGAAATGTCATTTAATTTGTTTGAATACTATTCTGCCATATCATGACTGTGACAACTGCGCTCCGATTGACTAGCCCGAGTTCGAAACAATTGACGGGTGTCGTCAACTAAACAGTTGACGACACCCGTCAACATATGTCTCAGGGTGACAGGCGCAGTGGCAGTGCCCCTAAGATCTTTGTGAGTTAGAGCACTGAGTGGTACCGCAACCGTTATGGGCAGGCGTGTCACTTACCACCTTGGTGGATGACTTCTTCGCCCCGTATATTGGTCTCAAAAAAGGTATTATTTACTTTATGTGTATTACTTTCCTAAAGTGTAGGCAAGTATACTCTGTTTATTTCAATCTCTGCTAATGACAATAATCATTAAGGTATACTGTGTGTGACGTCAAAATCGTACCAAAAAAAGTGCACGCTACCTGTTCCTTTGGGATATTAGATGTTCTCGGTTTTTCGTTTTAAATCTTTCCATGTAACTACTCTCGTGGATTAATTTCTTATATAACCAGAAATAGAGACCAAATGTCGTTTAATTTGTTTGAAAACTATTCTGCTATATCATTACAGTTCCAACTGCGCTCCGATTGGGCAGCCGGAATTCGAAACAATTCACGAGTGTCGTCAATGTTTCACTTCAAATCGACCAGTCAACTTGAGCTTTGCTATAATGGACGAAAATTGCAAAATTACATATTTAATATTTAATTACCGATGAAATGTGATTCCATTTGTTTTGTAATTAGGTGTTTTGCTGTGTTTCCCACACCACCGAATACTACACATATCTCTAACAGTATGGCTTTGTAGAGATATTATATATAGAGACGTACACACAGGTCAGTAGTTGGCCTGTCTATATTTCAGTGCAAACGAGAGTCGATATTTATAAGAGCTGTATCGCTAATGTGTTACCAGGAATATATGGTCGTTATTTCGTCTCTATTTCTGGTTATATACTCGATTTTCAAGTGATACGTGAATACCAATTTTGGATAGGACTTCGATCGAACGACTACGTAACTTCAACGATATTTTGATAACTTGAACTTACGTGAATCGCACTAACCAATACGCTTTAACGACATTTGGATCGAACGACTTTAAAATTGGACTCGTTGAAGTTCGACTGTCACACGTTAAGAAAAAGCAGTTCAACGACTAAATCGCTACGATATCTTACGGCGTCTAATCCCGTTCTCCGTCCGACAAAATTAAAAGATGCATGATGCGAATGAAGCTTCATACTTGACACTGTGTTTTGATTTGATCGAGTATGACTTAATTGACAATAATTATATCGGAGGAGGAACGAGAATAAACCCCCAGATCCATCAAGGAGAACTGGTCTCCTTGTACATACTATCCTTAATCTGAATTGCCACTCGAGTGTCACCGTTAGCGAGAGGTAATGCAATTAAATATTTATTTCGGAATGAGTTGGAAGCGTCGACCTCGATTCAGGGGGTCTACTCTCGATCTCCGTCTGACATCCGTCCGAAACAATTACTGTCAAATAAGTAATATTCGACAAAATTAAAAGACAAGTGTCAAGAATGAAGCTTCACTCGCATCACGCGTCTTTTCATTTGGTCAAGTATTGCTTATTTGGCAGTAATTGTTTCGGACGTATGTCGGACGGAGATCGAGAGTAGACCCCCAGAGCCGTCAATTTAGAAGCAACCGTTGTCCCAAGATACTTAAGGCATATGTAACACGTAACGTAATAATAGGCACAAAGTATCAATTAACTGTGTCCGCCATTAGACCGGATGTTCTGTAATTAACCAAACAATTAAGCAACCACTTATAGCGTTATAGCCTAGGAGTCATCTTTGGAGTTTAGGAGGGTTTTATTTGTGTTTTTAACCCTCAACGCAAAAAGACGGGACATCTTAATGTTGCAGATGTCGCAATGCAATTAATAAACTATTTATACGAGTAACATTCGGAATGAATATATTTCGTATTCTCGATAATAGCACAGCATATATCCGGTTCAGTTTATATTGCAGCCGAACGGAATGGAAGTGACTTTTTGTAATGTAAACGAACATTGCGTAATGGACTTCATAGTCAAATGTATAACGTACACTATACACGTAAACTAGATACGAGTTAAAAATCACGTCTTTAGTCTTCTGCGGAATTCTCGCTCATGTTCGAGAATGATCGCGCATTAGCGAGAATTCTCGAGAGGCGCCTAGCGAATCCGCGGGAAGTGGCGCGAAATCAGGCGCAGTGTGACGTCATACGTCGACAAAAAACTACAGCCCCAAGGCGTTGTTGCGAAAATGACGCTTCCGTTCCGCCACAATGTACATTAGCAATGTACATTATTTCATTGGACATGTACATTGACTTACAAATAAATGGACGACGGGTCTAATACAAAAACCACGAAAAAAATGTCCCAAGTCAACCTATTCGAAATTTAAATTGTTATGTCATCGCAGTATCGCGCTGTCCGTAGAACAAATGAAGACTAAAGCGGAGTGTCGCGCTCTGTATACGATTTTAGCGCCTTACAAGTGCGGACACTTTTTAGCGCGGACCCGACGTCCATATAATTGTAAGTCAATGGACATGTAGGGAGAATTCTCCCTACATATCCGAACCATAGAACTAAACCTAACACGTTCTTCGTTAGTTGAAATTGTTTGGCATTTGCATCACATTTTTATTTAACACAAAACGCTTAATTGATATACAAAATAAAACCTTATATAAAAAAAAAACATTTAAAAACCCATGGAAACCACACAAAAAAATCCTCACAAATAAATCCCAACGAATCCTTACCATTTTAAAAAAGAAATCCTACGTTGTGGAACTATAACAGATAAACCAACTATATAAACATTAGTATTCGTGAAACTCGCGACACGCATCTCACGCGCAGTATTCTTCTAGACTGACAAAATAGGAACTGTTAAATTTTAAAGCAAATTTTACGATAGACTTTCGGATTGGACAAATAGATCATAGGTCAAGGGAAAGAAAGAGATAGGTATATAATGCCGGTTAGGCCGTGAGGTTAGGGCAGAGGAACTGGTTGTCAACGATAATGTGGCTTAATTTATAATTAAAAATACAATAGAAAAAGTACTATTTTGTTAGGAAGTGGAAAAAATATTAAATTTGATGTTGTTTATGAAACAAATAACGTATTGAGAAACATTAGTTATGCCTATACCAAAACACTTCTCACCAAAGATCTTTCAGTTTACCCAAATGAAGACTCGGATGACCAGGAGGCTGGTATCTACTTCCGCCAACATTTACGCAAGTGTACGACTGACAAATACGCTACGTCAATGCTATTTAATGACACTTAAATTAAAATTAAAAACCTCGATACAAAACCAGTGTACGTCGAGACCGATTTATAGCCAAAATTTAGTGGGATGATCAGATGTTTGCGCAAATACGTACCAAACGGAATAGAATCAATGCCGACCTGGAGAATAGGTAGGTAATAGAGAATTTAGAATAATAATTGAACTATGACATCAGTCTAACAAGTTTAAATAAAACTGTACGGGTTTGACTCTTCCACAAATGCCTACGCTTGTGTAGTACCAATTGCAAACTACGGGACACACCGCATCGAAAGCAAAAGAACCCAGAGAGTAAACAACGTTACCGCGCAGCTCTCTTTATTAATTTCCATTCAAATTTTATTCAATATGTTTAGTAGAAACAAAGTTCTATATTGTATTGCTATCTTTAAAGCTCAGCCGGTACCTGTCTTTCAAAGAAGTATTTATTGTTGACAAGCTACCTTACACATTGCGCGGCCCGTGGCGGCACAAGCTGCCGACAATGGGATGCGCCGCGGTGACCGTCAGGATTGCTGGTCGCCTGTGGCGTCTGGCACTGAGTGTGTATTCAAGAATTGCTACCTGTTCTAAATAATTGCTACCTTTGATATATTCTGAGAAAGTTAAAAAAATAATTGACCAACCATTCTGATATCAGGATGGCTGGTCGCCACTTTGTTCCTCATGAAGGGAGCAGATTTTCCAGAAGTATGTATTACTAATAACTGCTACCTATTTGCTATTTTCACGAATTAAAGCTTCCTATCTACGTTAGTTAAAAAAATAAAAACGATTGAAAATTTTACGCATTTTTATTTTTGCAGAATAGCTGGTCTGAATATACACTCAGTGCCAGATGCCACAGGCGACCAGTCACCGCCCCGCGTTGTGCTCAACACACAGAAACTGGGTGCCGGTCGGGCGCGAGTCGAGTCTAACTCCGTGTATTTATGCGGACGACAACACACCAAACCCGGGCGTGTGCGCCCGTCCCGCGCTAGCGTTTATGTGTTTCATTTTGCATACACAGATATATGTATAATATTATTCAGAGTATGCTCTATAATATTTATAGCATTTTGCAAAAAGCGTGTGGCGCCCCTTTCTGCATCTTTTTTTTTTTCATTTGTTGTTTAAGCAAATTATAACCTTATCTTGTAGAAGATAAAGTTTATCTTGCATTGCTCGTTTTAATGCACGTTGTAAATAACGTTGCGTCGCCAGTTTGCAAACCCTTAGTGAATCGTAGTGCAATTGATAAAAAAAAATAATTAAAACACCGTTGACAAAAGATTCTTGTTCTTATTTCTTGCAATTGCTCTCGCACGATGGATTTATAAAATTATAAAAATGTAAAATTTTGTTTGAATGTTTATTTGTAAATAAGTAATGAAAATGCAAAACTCACATATAAATCATTATAATCACATTTCGTAATCAGTCTGTAAAAAAACTTCATCATCTATTGCTTCGACATGGTCTCCTGACTAACTTCATAATAACCATTAGGCATATATTTAAGGCTCATTACCTGTTTAGCAAATCACGTCTTGAGCTTATAAATCACATCAAAGTCTTTACCGAAGCGTAGTAAGCGAAGCTTTCTTTTCATCCATTCAACATACAATCTACGAACGGAATGACGCGGCCGTGCCTCAACCGGTGTGCAAGTAATTTGAAATTAGAATACAAATACAATTCTACAGGCTATGACGAAGCTTAAGTTTCGATTTTCGACCAGTGATATAAGATAATTCAGAGTAAAAGGTCACCATAGTAAGTCTATGGGACAATTTTTCAATTACACAAATCAAAATTGTCTAGGGATCAAGGCATTTTTGCAAATATTAAAAATATTTATATAAATTTATTAAATTATTTATTAAATAATGAAATTGGCAAAAAAGCCATTGATGTTAAAAAAGTGAATTAAACACCTGATTTTCAGTAATTGGCAAAACGTCCTTGATCCCTATACACTTTTATGGCGTGTATATAATTTTGCGTAGACAAATGCGCAGGTGAAAAAAAAAAGAAAAGGTCTGCTTCGCTTCGGTAACGAATCGACATTCCGTCTATAGTCCATTTGTTTAGCTACTTAACTAAATGTAAACAATCTTGAGATGTCTATTTAATAAAATATACATTTATAAAATTATTTTTACTTACCTTCAAATATAGCATCATATGAAAATGCATGCCCATTTTTATACCAATTGATTTGTAATGCATATTATGTTTTAAAGAAAAGATGTATCAAGATTGTTTACATTTAGTTAAGTACCTAAACAAATGGACTATAGTGCCTACGATATATAGTCATGCATGAAAACGACCACGAGTAGTGAAGAATTTTTACCTGTATAAAATACGTCTTATTTATTTGTTGAATATTTTCATATACTTTTTGTGAAAATTAAAATCCTCCACTAGTCTGTTATTATTATTGATACAATGATCTTACATAGATCAGTTGGTTAAAAATGGTCGCACCGGTATGACAACAGACACTGGTTCGAGTTCAGTTAAATCAGTAGTAGCAGTAGAGATCCTTGTGAAAGAGTTCATCCAGGGTAGTACTGCCACTTTAAAGGTGCTGGTGAGATTACAGGCACATGGGACTTGTCAATTTATGTCTCAGGATGACGGCAGCAGTGCCAGTGCCTTTCAGACTTTTGTGATTTTAAGCACTGGTGGCACTGCAACTGTTAAGGACAGGCGTGTAGCTTACCACCAGGCGTACGACTTGTTCGTCCCGTTTATAAAAAAAATCGAAACAATTTTTTTGTGTTCCATCTTAGTATCAATAAAAATAAAAATACCAGATACGCCAGTTAGTGAGGAGACGGGCAATATAATAGAATATTAGATTTTTTTTATAAAGTGACCAGTTTACACAGAATATTCATATTTATAAAAAAGTATGGAAACGAAATATTATCTTTAATTTACAAAGATAATTGTCTAAAATAAAATAAGTACAATTTAAATCTCATAAGTACTTCTAATCAGAGAGTGTTATATTTATCTTAGTTAACGTATAAAACCCGAGTTTCAATAAAAAACGTTAATTAATTTTTACAAAAGTTAAAATTGTCATGTACAATCGATGCTCTAAGATACTTGAATCGCTTAAGCTCAAATAATGAAAATCCACACAATTGTATTTTTTATATTTTTAAGTTGTCCGTGTTCAAGAGATCCTGAGTATTACAACAAGAAACATTCTTGCACTGCCATGATGTACAATTCAAATTGCACAATTTATGCACGCGTTTGCATCGCTATACTTGCGATTTATAGGCGGTTGCATCGTTACAAACGCGCGATTGCATCAATGCTATCGCATATAAATCCCAAGTGTAGCGATGCAAGCGCGCGACTACATCGATACAAACGCGCGGTTTAAATGTGGTGTGCAAATGTAGACGATTAGCGACTGTAGCGCGTTTACATCGCTGCTAAAGTCGCCATGTGTGACCGCTCTAAGTCGACGTTTGTGCTTTAGTCACTCGATCTGACGGAACTTACAGAACTAATATTTAACTCTATGCGAGAACAGCAATATCTCGCGCTTCCGCAAACACGCTTAGTTTGCCGGATCGAGCGCTAAGGGTTGATGTGTGCGTGTTTTAAAATATTTTTGAATATGTTGTGCAAATTCTACGTGCATATTATGTCACATGCATGTAATTTCGATACCCCCAATGAAGTGTTCACGCCACTGTCGTTTAATTTGAACTTCAGCAATTGAATCCATGGCCATAAATGCAGCCTGGAAGCTTGGCATCCTTTCCAAGGTGAGGCGTTATTTCACACCTGGACAGATGCTAAAGCTGTACCAAGTCCGTTCGTGTATGGAGTACTGCTGTCGCTTATGGGATGGCTCTGCTAAATACCAGCTGGCCACCTTGGATTCAATCAACAAGCGTGTCAAAAGGCTTATAGGAGACTCGGAATTAGTTGAGGCGAAGCAATGCGAATGGAGTTGCATAATTTGATTCCGCCTTCCCCTTTCCGTCATCAGGAGACTAGACGTGGGCTGGGATTTTGATATTCCCAGGATTCGCAAGAAGCGTTTCGCTTCCACATTTATATGGCGAGCGGGTAGAGAGTGGAATTCTCTGCCTGAGGACGTATTCCCCGAACGCTATAAGTTGGACCTTTTCAAGGCAAGCGTGAATAGGTATTATTTAGGTGTGCATGCTACATCGTCGACCTCATCGTCGCTTTCCATCAGGTAAGACGGAGGTCAAATACGCACTTATTTTTAATAAAAAAAAAAACCTTTATTTTTGGACCTATTCTGTTTTGTTTTTTTTTATTCACAAAATTCGTTTTTTTTTTGTTTTTGTTGCTTGTTTTCAGAAAATTCGGGGAGCAAAATGTTAGTAAATAAATATGGCTGTATTCATTGGCTTACAAATAAATGGACGTCGGGTCTAATACAAAAACCACGAAAAAAATGTCCCAAGTCAACCTATTCGAAATTTAAATTGTAATGTCATCGCAGTATCGCGCTGTCAGTAGAACAAATGAAGACTAAAGCGGAGTTTGGCGCTCTGTATACGATTTTAGCGCCTTACAAGTGCGGACACTTTTTAGCGCGGACCCGACGTCCATATAATTGTAAGTTAATGGCTGTATTACAAAAATAATAGAAAATGACCAAATAATAAAGATGGCGTAGTGTTCTTTGGAGGTATCGATTTGATGAAACACTTTTGACGTACAATCACATACGCCTTTATTATACCAAGGGCTTTTACGCTGTTTTCATCCATAACAGTCACTGTAAACTCATAGTAGATATCTAGATCCGCCATAACGAGTAAGCTAATGGAAAAGTTTAAATCTTTATTGATATCTAATTTAACTTAATTGCTATTTCTCGTTCGGTATATCGACTGTGAACTGGCAACCGGTATTATGTCAGTTTTGACAACTTTACAGGATGAAGAAAAAACTTGTTTGCGTCATTGATATAGCATCTGGCCTCCGTAGCATGGCTACGCACGACAGTCGCGACACGCGCTATTGGCTGTTTCAATCAGATCTAATTTAGATAGCCAATAGCGCGCGCTTATTTTAATTTTATCGTGGGTGTCGCGACTATCATGCGTAGTCATGCTACGTAAAATACGTAGTTTTTAAATATTTTCTGGAGGAGGAGGAGGTTCTCAATTGGACTGTATGTTCTTTTTTTTTTTTTCTTTTTTTTTGTATGTTTGTTACGCGATAATTCCGGTATTTGTGAACCGATTTTCATGATTCTTTTTTTGTTGGAAAGGGGGCACTTCCATAGTGATCCCATTTCATTTTGAAGAAAATCATCCACCTCAAAGGGTGGCTGTTCACGCATGAAGATTCATTTTTATAAATAGCGCCTAACTTTAATTTAGGAGCAATTACTTTTAGCAATTATTTAGTTGATTTTGCTATTTCATCAATTCAAGGCGTTTTTCCCTCGATATACTTTGAGTAGTGTCGTAGTGAGAACCTATTTTTATTATCTCCAGTATCAAGTCCTGTATAGTGGCGCACTAGGGGATATTTCAATGAAACTTAGCAAATAGACGTAATTCCACGTACTTTTGAGGTCGGTTTTTTTAGTACTCTGTACTGAGATTATTATTACACATGTTATTAAAACAATGGAACGCTGCGGTGTATGAAATAGTATAAAATGGTATTAAAAAGTGAAATCTTTAGAAAATTGAGATAGTACCGGTTGCCATTCACACTCACAGTCGATATGTATAAGTAAAACCAATCGTTCCTATACTTAATATACGTTAATATTCCGTTTGATCCACGGCAAGAATTTGGCTAAATCTGTAAAGACCACGTAATGAGTGGGATCACAGCGGTACTCGTTCTGCCGAGCCACGGAGAGCGAGACCAGGCCTCGTAGGTACCACCGGTTTTGTTTGTTGAACACCATGCCGCCTCCGCTGTCACCGTTGCAAACGGATGTGCCTGAAAAAGTTAAAGTTAATTTTTAGTAAGGACGCGCTGTAGGTAGCGATGAGGCAAGCTCGGTTTCTTTCCATCACCCGATGCTAATCTTTATTGGTACTCTTCAGCTTCTCCATAATAAAACCTAGTAAGTACTTTAGATCAAGATCGCTCTTAAACAATTTTCATTTCAATGTAAAATAGGTAATAGTATTAGATAGGAAAGTAATCTACGAATGTATGAATATCATCAAAATAATCACAAGTTATATATTACATAGAATCAAAACACAATATAAGCATTTGTTAGGTATCTGGTTTAGTTATTGCATTGGAAAGTTTAGAAAAGAATTTGATTTTATTTGACTAATTAAATTAAGAAAACGACTAAAATTTTCAGTATCAGTAAACGTTATTATCCACTAATTGCTTATTCAAATACCTAGTAAGCCGCTTTAATTACTTGAAAACCTAGCAAGTCTCAATTAGGTAGGTACTTGATATGTTTTTAATCATATTTACATCATACTTGAAACAAAAATTAACAAGTAAAGTTACAATTTTTTTTATAATATCAAGTGACAGGACGAACAAGTCGTACCTGATGGTAAACTATACACCTGTCCATAACATTTGCAATGCCACTCAGAGCTTTAAAACGCAAAGATCCGAGGGGCACTGCCACGGCGTCCGACACCTTGAGATATAAATTGACAAGTCCCAAGTGCCTGTAATTTCACCTGCACCCTTACCCTTCAAAACTGGAACACAGGATTGCTGACATTACTGCTTGGCGGCGGGGCCGCTTATTCCCAGTTGTCACCACTGGCTTTGTTCCCACTGCCGACAAATGGGAAAGAGTCCCATATGTCACCAGGTGGTGACAAACGGGATAAAAAGTCTCAGTTGTTACCAGTGGTGATTTTCAGTGGCGACAAATGGGGAAAAAATCCCATGTTACCAAGTGGTGACAAACGGGATAAAAAGTTCAGTTGTTATCAGTGGCGACAAATGGGGAAAAAAAAATTCCATATGTTACCAGGTGGTGACAAACGGTATAAAGAGATCAGTTGTTGCCACTGGCGGGTAATGGAATTTAAAATATCCCAGTAGGTTGCCAGTGGTACAAAAAACCAAATAAAAAATTAATTAAGTTTAATTATAAAAGTATAGATCTTATTAACTCGAATTTTATTTTATTCCTTTTCGATGGCGGCAATAAACTTACATTAATTGGATTTTTTTATTCCCTTTGGTTTTTCTTGCCACCGGCAACCAACTACTTTTTAGTTTGTCACCACCTGGTAGCATATGGGATTTTTTCCCATTTGTCGTCAGTAGAAATCACAACTGGCAACAACTGGGATTTTTTTATCCCGTTTGTCACCTCCTGGTAACATATGGGATTTTACCTATTTGTCGCTAGTGGGAACAAAGCTAGTGGTGACAACCGGGAATAAGCGGGCAGAAATTGGTGTGGCGGTACGCAAGGAACCAGCCACCACGAATATGGGAATATCACACCTCCCTCAACTCCGCCACAGTCGGCTAAGCGCCAGACGCTGTGAGTCGACCGGTCCAGGCGACGGAGGGTTTCATTTGCCATCGCAAGTAAATAACAATTAAACGCGAAATAGGTAAGGTAGCAGTACTTCCCTCGACGGACTTTTAACTATTACTAACTGCTACTAATATCATAATGTAAGAGAATATTTAAACGATAAACAAATATGTTCATAATTATTAAAATAATTAATGTACACAGTACACAGTGTATTTAGTTGACATACATGTATAAATACTAGGTATTAACGCTATCACAATGTTTTGTTATTATTATTTAGCACATATAGATATTTATAAATCTTTTAAAAATAATAATATAATATTAGAATAGTTTTATTTGAGATTGAAGAATTGTTTTTTTGTATAAATTGTATTTTGTTTCTTGTAAGGTTTTTGGAGATTTTATTTGTGAAATGTCGCCCCGTCCGTGTATTTTTTGCTGTGTCCGACAGGGTCCCAAAGATCTAATTTAACCGTGTCCACCTGCTACATTGTAGACTTTTGGGAATGCAATAAAGTACTGAGTATTGAATTTGTTTAACGAGACTTACGACATTTTTGACTGGTCACGAACCAGGCCCTGTACTCTCAGACCTGACTACTCGTACATTACTAGGTTTTAAAGTTTTGAAATGCGATAAATTATAGAATTTTGAAGAGGCTGTTTCAGTATAAGCAGACCTCCTTGTGACACAGTTCGTCCAGGGAAGTACTGCCACCTTAAAGGTGCTGGTGAAATTGCAGGCGCATGGGATCACGCAATGGCAGTGCCCCTCAGATCTTAGCGATTTAAAGCTCTGAGTGGCACTGCAAATGTTATGGACAGGCGTAGCTTACCATCAGGTGCACGACTTGTTCGTCCCGTCACTTGATATTATAAAAAAAACAGTACTTAGGTACTATGGGAGTAATATATCCACTAAAAACGGTTTTCAATAAATATGTTCCTTTCTAGGTTTTGCTCTAGAGCAGTCGTCTAATTCCGTTTGCGTCGACAAAGCAAAGCTGCACTACTAAATGTTAATTTTTTAATTATTTTTTTCCGTTTTGTGGGGAGACTTCTTCACTGTTCTACAATTTCTTTTTTATACACCAGTAATATAATTTAGATAATCATTACATAATTACGTTCATGGTACAAACTGTAGTCCAATAATAATCCAAATTATAACTTACTCAGCTCCAAAAACACCACAGGTTTTAAAATGGAAATAAGCATTAATAAGCATTGGACATTAAAAGAAAATTCAAAGAAGATAAAGTAAAAAAAGTGTGAGTTTACATTTTTAAGTTAGGAGAGGTTAGAAAATTAATGGAAGCCGGTTGTGCAGTTTTTTTTACAAGAAATACATAGGTACGCACCTACACACCTACGTATTAAATTTTAATAAGTGGATAGCATTCATTTGGTATTAATAAAATTAGAAAGGTTATCATTTAATTCTAGGTATATTCAGAACATACTTTTTCTAGTTCCGGAATGACCATCGATGCCTCCTGGAAGCAAAAGCATAATGGCTTTACACAGCCAATTTCTGCGGAATAAAAGCGGGAAGTAGCTTCGCAAGTTTACAAAGCGGGAGTTTGTTTAAGTACTCCTTTATTTAAGAAAATAGTGCTGAAATTAGGTCATAAAATTACACAAAAACAACAAACAAACTAGACAATTTGTTGTTTTTTTATTGCCAGCAACTTTATCCTGTAAAGGAAGGCCATTTATACCATTTTTTATATACAACTATGTACTACAACTTGCTACTAAAAGTAGCAAGGCAACTGAAAAGAAATATCGCACCCCTCGTGGAAGAATGGCATAAGTGCAGTTACATCAAAAATGTTTATTGCTCCATTAGATACAGATAAATGTAACCTACATCTTCTCAAATTTTGTAACACTATCTACAATATCGAGTTCTTAAATCGAGTAGATTTAAATCGCGTATATTTGTTTTTCCAAATAAACCAACGTTTCGGGCCCACAGGTGCCATGGTTACGCTTGACTGAGGTGGTTCAGTCATCAACCAGTTATGTCTAATGTTAATGCACCCTATTTTTTCACTATAGTTACAAAAGTTATTAATTAAATACCTTATTTTTAATTTTACAAAGATCTATAATATTATTATTTAGGAAATGAAACTATTTTTCCGGATT